ATAATTAATTAAATATTTCATTAATTATACTTAAAATGTTGACCTGACTAAAAATAATTAAATTTACACTTATACTGCATCATACGATGTTTAATTAACTGTATGTAGCCTCAGTCAAAGCGTTCAAAGATGAAGCTGAAATATAATTTAGTTTGGCACAACATTCATATGGTTTTAACATGAAATGACAGTTGTGGCAGGTTCATTTCGGTGTTTTCCCTGTTGTGAAATATACGAGCGTATGGCATGATATGTTTTAATATGATATGTTTACGTGTAAAATAAAAAAAATAAAAAAAGTAAGGTAAAATAAATTTACTATAGCTATTAAAGCATTTTGAATTTCAATACATACTTAAACTAAAATACTTTTAGTTTGAAATGATTAACATATTTTTATTTGACCATTGAACCGAAATATCTCCACACATTTTTAAATGCAGTATAAGATAATACCCCCGCCGCAGCAAACCTGCCGACTAAGCGAATTTCCATTTGTCTGAATTGATTTTCAGTTAAATCTATTTAAATAACATTACGTTTAATGAATACCTAGGTTTGCTGCTACAAGGAAAGTAATAAAGTGTATTTTTTAGTAAAATATTAATAGCTTAGTAAAAAATAAATAAATTGGCCAAGTTTGATCAAAATATATCCATAAACTAGCAAACTACAACATTTCACAATATTCTCCATAAGAATAACATGGGAATTTTAAATTATTTACAATTTTTTTAATTTTCTCCATTACCAATAACCGTACAAAAACACTTTGATATACTAAATTATTTGTTTTTTTAACTCTTTAAAAAAGGTTCAGAGAGAAATTGGGAAATTTTGTGTTTTGAGGGTCAAAAATGACAAAAACAATTTTTTACCCCATAAAAGCCCCCGTAAAACCCCGTTCCCATGGTCCGATCATGCTGGTTTGCGAACTCATTCAAGTTTATGCCACCTTACACCTTTAAACCAAATTTCATCAAAATCGGAGAAAAATTACTCAAGATATCGCGTTCACGGACGTATATATATATATATATATATATATATATACATATATAAAAATTTGAACGAATGGTGTTTTTGGCCTCTGGGGACATCAAAATGAAAAAGTAAATCGGTCCCGGGGCTAGGTCTTACCGTGCCACCTACGGTAATAGCTACTTCCCTATAGGGAAATTCGCTAAAAGGTCAACAACATTGATTTGAACAAAATTAGTGTTCATTTTCTTACAAATAAATTTAAAAGAATAATTTTAGGATAGACCTAAAATACCAAAACATTTGTCTTACATTGCTTATAATTGGCATTTGTATAAGGTAACTTACTGCTTTTGCATTTTAGGATCGAATATACTTGAGACCTCTGCCGTTAGTTATTTCACTTCCACTATATAATTGATATGTAGAAGTATACATTTAAAGTTTAACATAACCCATCTTAACATAAACCTAAACACGATTCGTAGACAGTTATAGACTAATATTTCAGCCTGGAGAAAAATGGTGGTAGTGAACTAACGGAAAAGGTCATAAAACTTCATTCCCCGAAACTGTTTTTAAATTCCATAAACAATATTAACTATAATGGTGTGCTTCATGGCACGACTTTGCAAAAAAATCCTCCATATAAAAAATAATTATTAGGTTTGTTTATTTTACAAGCAGAATATTGTAATATTCATTGTATATTACTTGTAACTTCATTTAGTTTGTGTACACATATTTAAAGCTTTGTCATATATTCTAGGCATTTAACGGAATTTCGCCCCTTAATTGGTAGGGTCTATAAACATACGCAACAAACTAAATAATAAAATACCCCCGCCGCAGCAAACCTGCAGACTAAGCGAATTTCCATTTGACTGATTGGATCTACACTGAAATGTCTAAAAATATCACATTTATTCCCTATTTAAATAGAATTAGTTTAACAAGTACTTAGGTTTGCTGCATCAGGGAGGGGAAAACTGTTTTTTTTTTTTTTTTGTAAAATGTGAATAGTTAGTAAGAAATAAAAACATTTTCCAAATTTGATCAAAATATGTTCACAAACAAGCAAACTACAACAGTTTACTTATTCTCCATAAGAATAACATGGGAATTTTAAATTTACAATTTTTTGGAATTTTCTCCGTAACCATTAGGCGCATAATAACGCTTCAATATACTAAATTATTTGTTTTTTTAAGCTCTACAAAATGGTTTGGAAAAAAATTGCTAAATTTTATGTTTTTTGGGTCAAAAATGGGAAAAACCTATTTTTACCCCATAAAACCCCCCGTGAACCCCCGTTTCCATGGTCCGATCATGCTGGATCGCGAACTCGTTCGAATAAACGTACGTTTACACGTTTGTACCAAATTTCATCAAAATCAGATCATTTTTGCTCGAGTTATCGTGCTGACGGACATATATATGAATTTGAACGGATGGTGTTTTTGGCCTCTAGGGACCTCAAAACGAAAAAAAAATCGGTCCCGCGTCCAGGTCTTACCATGAGTACTACGGTAATAGCTTATTCCCTATATGGGAAATTCGCTAAAATGTTGAGGAAATATTATATTAATGATATCGAAAACTGTGTTCATTTCCATAGAAACCACTAAAATGCAATCCATAGCAAACTTTGTGTTATTTTCTTATTATTTCTCTTGGCCTTCAACGCTCGGTCGCCTTGTCAATGTTGATTACAAGAGTTTCATCAACGCCAGCTGACATTCCCTGCAGTTAATGGGCAAAGTTGTTCTAATTAAATCGGAGGAGAACGACGAACTTTTATTTAAAGCGGAATATAAAAATAAATTTCCATACTTCCAGAAACGCCTCCGCGATCAAATACCACAAAATGTCTGAGAACAATTAAAACTTTGTCACAGATTTCAAACTTTGTTTCTGCTCCAACCTCGTATTTAAATAGTTATGACTTTCTTATTGGATGATTTTAATTTTAAATTAGGGAAAGTGTTTTCGAGCTATAACAAAGAAAGGTTATTCTTCACGATGCTTCTATAAAATGTGATTTTGTTTGGGCGGTAAGTTAATTTTTGATTTAATTTCGATATAGTTCCGGATGTCCCAAAAAGAATGGATGAAAATTAAACACTTTATTACAAAAGATAAAAAGTTTATTTTATATAACATTTATTTTATAGCTCACTAAGTCTCTCCTATCATGATTTCATCGCGTAATCTCTACGTGTTCTCATATATATGCAAGAAAGTAAAGTCGGTGTTTCTGCTCTGACCACACACTATTTCATTCAGAGATTTTCCCAAAGGCTTCTCTTATCATTGGTTAAAGTTCATTCATGTTTGAGATCGGCGAGTGATTAACTTGATATTTTTCAAACTCTCAGACATAAAAGATCACAAAACAGATGTTGTCTGTAAACCATTCAATACACTGTGCTTTAACTGGACTCTCATATTGCAACTGTATATTTGCGTTAACAACAATGGAACAGCTGATTACTTTTGAAGGATACTAAACAAATCTTAAAGATGCCTAATATTGGTAATGGTTGACTTTTCTACTACCCTTGGTAATACGTATGTTAAGCTGTTAGTTTGATCCATTCTTTTTGGGACATAATGAATTATGTATACATAAATCAAAATATGTCAACAAAGAATTATAATTACAAGATCTAAAAGGTGAATTTATAAAATTCCATCCGGTTAAAACTGTATGAATTAATTGTACAAAAAACTTCAAATTATAATCCACGTTTATGTACATTCTTGATTTCCAATAATGTGTCCGAAAGCTAATGAATAGGTGGTTTCATTTCCTTAACATACAAGTAGTATTTCTTTACTTGTGAACCTTATATAAACGTGATTGTCACAAAGAATAATATAGCTATCAACATTCTTTTTAAAGTTACCATTTAAATACATTATTAACAACAGATCCGCAATTGTATCTTTAATCTAATTCAATGACAATAACTATAACCCTTCAGCGATACACTTAGTTTGCATGGTTAAATTTTAAGTCATCTTTGGATTGTGCGTGTTTAAAATGACTTCAAAGGCATACTAAAAAAGGTTTCAGGCATTAATATACCTACAATATTAATTATATCCAGTTTTAATAATTTTGAGTCATTGTTTACAAGACGTTTGCAGTTTGAACGTAATCTCGTTTCTTTTTCAATGTAATAGAAGAAATATTCTTAGTTTGCCTAAATAACTTTAGATACATCCTTAAAATTTAAATGGAGATTAATTCTATCAATAAAATAAAACGAAAGTTAGGTTTTAATTTGACCGAACAAAATTAACAGAACCATTACCATTGATTTATGAATTTCGGCCAAAAACACACGTTAATATATCAGTAAGTTTGAGTGCTAAGCAATGTTTAGTAATTTAAAAATAAATAAAATCCCCATGCAAGTAATTATCTTGAATATTTGTTTTTATAAGCAATCGTTGTTTGAGATATAGCAGTATGTTTACACTTTGGGAATTTTCAAATCATTTTTAGGGATTCTTCATGATAATTCTCGTTACTATTCATTTTCTTGCACCAGTAACGGGCCATAAACTACAAAGATAATATTTCTCTATGGTCAAAACGTATTTATGGATCAATATAAAATACCCAACATTTATCACAATCAATATCTATACAGTAGTTTGATGTCTACAACAAAGAACACATACCCCAGTTCTCCAATTGGCTTACGCTATGCAGTAGGGTACAGAATAGGTAGTTTGGTGTATTTACAAATAACATATCCGACTCACTCAAGTAATATTTCATTCTAATTCAATAGATCAGTACAATCAACCTTATGTCAACCCTCTGCATAATCAAAATACAAGCCACTCTCACTAATTATATACTAATTGCATATTCATTGTTTTAATTACTCATTCAGTTATTGTTGCCGTATCCCCCTCCCTCGAAGCTGCAAGTAAATAGAACGATGCCACCGTTATTTGAGAAATACTCTACAACAATACACGTGTATTTTGGCAATACTTACAGCCCTTCCAGTGGAGAATTCAACACAAGCGGCTGTCAAAAGCGCTAACAACAAAGAGCGACACACAACCATCGTGAACGAGGGCTGATACACAACTGAGCGTTTCATCCCTTTTGCGCATTTAGTTCTCCAACAGGTCGATACGCAGCGCCACCGATATAACAACTAGCGACTTCTGTTGTATTAGCTTGGAATTAACTCACCCTCACGTGATTTTGCTATGCACTTTTAAAATTGTTATTGATGTTTACTAAGAAAGGTGAGACCTTGTATTCACGATGTAAAATATGGCAGAAGATATATATTTTTGAAATGTTTGCTTGCTTGGTTTTTACTACTTGGTTCTTACTTACTTCTTTTTAACTTTCAAATGGCTTGAAAATGTTTAATTCAAGCAATGATCCAAGATTAAGGAAGCGTATTTGTGTCGTGCAAATACTCTTCCTTCCTAAATAGACTAAAGTACCGAGAAGTATAAACACAAAATGTTAAATTTTGATCAATTTGTACCACATCTCGACTATTTAAATCTGAACACTAGTACGTCCCTTTTAATTTTAAAGTCCGTAACCAACTTGTATTGTAATTGTTGTACGAAATGTCATGGAATGTAATAGTACAACTACCACCGTTAAAATAGTTGGATTAAAGATTAACACAATTCAAGAACCAAGTATGACGAAATTTCTCATTTGAATCATTGTTCATAAAATAATTAAGTCCTACGTACTGGAAAACCTTTTCAGCAAAACAGAGAAGGGGGCACGCTTAACAAATTTAAGCAATTAAGAGAGTTACATTAACCTAATCCAACGCCAAATTTGGAACTAAAATGTTCAAAGAAGGTAGAATAAATTCACGAAACCTGCTCAGAACGTTTTTACTAGCTTCAAAACTATTTCCATTTCGTGTTCAGAAATATGTAGTCAAGGGTAGGGGAAAGCTGTCAAAAACTCGCCTGTCAAATATATTTTCAGATGAAAACTGAACTGGTGCCACGAAAAGATCCACTAGCTGTCGATTATCTAGAACTGGTACTGGTAGTGTTATCTGTATACCTTGCCTGAAACTACGTGACCGAGACTGCAGCACAGTACAGCAGTTTTCATCAAATACGCCTCTTGATATAGTTAGGCCTAGTGATGCGTTAATTAAAGGTTATAATAATCGATCCAAACTAAACCAGCTATTATTATATCATATTGTGTAGCTTAAATAATTGGTATTTCCTACATACTAAAGAAATGTTTTCCATAACTCTTCTTAACTGTTATCTCAAAATGTATACTCTGTTATAATATTTAGAAGGTTTCAACTAGGTGTTTATATAAAAAACTTACTTGTACCCACGGCTTTGCCTGCGATGGTATAACCATCATGTATCATAAGAAATGAACGGAGTATTACCAATGAATACAAACCCTTTGTATTATATGTAAATAGTAAGATACAAGCGTATGAGTCAGTATTTTATTTTATTTTTATTAATTCTAATTGACACAACCTATCCGGCATTGCTGGTCTTGGTGAAGAAGAAGGTAATAATAAGGTAATAAGGTATTCATTGGCATTACATTCTAAATTAATACAGATTTATTCAACTGGATATTTGCAAGTTTCCTAATTTTTGTTTACTTTTTTATTGAGGCCTATGTATTTAGTTCTCTTACGGTTTTGAAAATAATTATCCGTAGCCTAGTGGCTTCACCAATGATCAGGAAAATAAAATTTTATCATTATTTAATGCGTCACGCAAATAAAAAAAAGGCCCTATGTTAATATTGAACACTCTACAGTGATTAAGGTAAAATTTTAAACTAATTGAAAACCATCTACCACAAAACAATATGTTTAATCACTGACTAAAAAATTCTCATAACATAAAGCTTTTAAACTGAAAACACCTTAACTCTTCAGATTCTCCAAGGTATAGTGATAGTCAAAGGTATAGTTCTTTCATATCAGCTCCTCTAAAGTAAAGAAACTTATCCACCAGAACAACTCATTCCAGCAGGCTCGTCTTCCCATTTTAATGCTCTACCGTATATACCCTCTCTGTCCATTTGATATAGTTTTTAAAATGTGTATTGTCAATAGTCTAGTGTTGCATCGTACTCCATTGCATCATTTTCAAACACACAGCAAGGTTGTATTTCTGTTGAATGCTTGTCGCCAATAAAAATTAAAAACAATAACTTTAAACAATCCTACTTTGACAGTTCTCATTGTTTATGACAGCTTTTGTTGCTGCTTAGTTATAATTAGTTGCTGTCATAAAATAATGAAACAAATTGATAGTGCAGCACCCTGTTGGTAACCTTATAACTTTTTAATACTATTGAATATCATAGAACCAATAATGTTGTGTACTGCACTTGTTGGGGCATTTGTATTTTTAATATGAATTGTTTGGCAATACAGTATTAAAAGAGTTTCTCAACAATAACTTGGATTGTTCTACAGAAGTTTGTTTCATTAGATAAAGTCTGTTTTTATGAATTGGGGGGGGGGGGGGGGTTATACTAGAAGATACGTCGATGGGTTGTTGAGACAGGGATTCATTGTGATGTTTGGGTATTGTGATGTCAAATTTAAGAGTGGAAACGTAAGAATGAGCACCATCCTGTGGGATACGCTTGGACTATAAGGCTTCAAAAAATTATTTAACCTCTTTTATTTGTGAATTATCTGGTCCGGAAACACCTCAACAACAAAAATTTACTTAAGCTTAAGGAATTTTCTTAGTTTTTTTTTCATATTGGTGTTTGTTTGCAAGCAAATTTTGTATTTAGTCAACGGTAAGATAGTGAAAAAAGTTTGCTTTGTAATAATATTTTGACTTCACGCTTGTTTTATGTCTCTGAAGTAATCATGGGTGAACCAAAAAAGGTTAGCCATGGTGTTCGTCTACATTTCGCAAGTGACACTACATTTTATTGAAATATTTTGAAGCCTAATTTGTAATGTAAAAAATAAATAAATAACTAAAGGGAGTATACAATAAATACATAGTCATCGTATCAGGTGTTTACTTATAAAGTACAGAAGCACCACAGTGCAAAATGTACATGTATCACATGGTTCAAGATTTCACTTCCCTTATAATAGAACAATAAATAATTTATCTTACACAATTTATAAAATATTTACAAACCTAACATAGAAACAAATCGTATAAAACTTAAATAAACTATTCAATATAACAACAACACCCTAATATTACGAAGGCAAGGATCTCAAAAATTAATAACGGTTAAAAATATGTTTAGGCCTTTGGCTTTTGTTAGATAAGGAATATTTAAAGAAAATAACGCTATCTTGTCCAGCCACAACCTCGAATGTTTTATTTTGTGTTTAGAGTATTATAGTTTGAGCGTACTTACATAGATTACTAAGTAATTTGACTATTTTTGTACAACTTATAGTAGAAGATGTAGTAATACAGATTAAAAGCCATTTCAATCCATTGGTTTTATTTGCAATGTTTTTATCAGCACTAATATTATTAAAAGCTGTTCGAAAATTGGACACCGAGAAATAATTCATGTAAAAATGTGTATAAAAACAAATTAATAGTAATTTAAATAACAAATGTATGACATTTCATTGATGAAATTTTTATTCACATAGTACTTTAAAACACTGTAAACTCTTAATTAACTTTAAAAGTTGGTGTATAGTAAAAACACATTTGAGAACCAAGAAAGAAATGTTAAAATTCCTATTTTACTTTAGAATGTACTCGTATTTTCAAATAATAAATTGAGGTAATGAATTTAAAACTCACTTTTGGATTGTCTTTTCTGGTTAGACAACTGGATAGCTTAGTTACAAAACTATATTTGAGACAAAAGTCCCTTTTTCGCTCAGAAGCGTCAAGTTTTGGACCATCAGTTTAGAGGAGAGGAGTCTAGACTAAACCCTGTGCACAAATATACAAGACACCACATACATATACGACACTTAACACTCACCTATACAATCTACTTATTGCGTGTATACTAGAGTATAGTAGTCTATATACAGCAGAAGTCTATCTCAGGTATTCACAGTAGCAGACTGCGAACACAGCCATATCGTCTGTTTGAAATTATAATTGAAAAACTTAAGTTGTAAAAGTTTGTGCCAATATTATTACACGACTGTTTGACACAAGGGTTGCTGGATATGTAAAACATTGTGCTATACCGAGTGCGTCTAAATTATTCTACAATAATTTAAAGATGAATACACGACAAATTAGAAAAACTATGTTGACTTTACATCTTATTTTGTTACAACCATTTTATAATAAATAACAAATATCATTAACATGTTATGGAACTATATTATAGTTGTTGCATTCTTCGTGGTAGGTAGAAGTGAATTGTGTAATGTGTATAGCCAAATAAGTTCTCTATTTAATTTAATTGTCAACATTCGATTATTTTGTTCAAAATCATTTTCACAAGTCAACGAGAATTTGATGAAGAAGTTTATACAAATAAACGTTGTACCTTCGAAATTATAGCTAAAACAAGCCATGTAAAGAGTAAAGAAATTAAGTTTTGGTGACATTTAAGTTTCCATATTTTGTCAATTTAATGAGTATGGTAGTCCCATGAATGGTATATATATGCGACTACTGGTTTATAAAACTAATTAAAAACACGCAATAATTCTAATTGAGGACTAAACATCAGTAAAAATCTAAGACACTATGCAATTCAGATTTATACATATAAGTAATGATAATCTTAAAATCGAAATACGAAAAACGTGCGTAACTGTGAATTTATTCTTATTATTCTTCATCATTAAAAAATACAAGAAAAAATAAGGATACACAATAAATAACAATGTATAATGAATTACACAAATTAAACTATTATATAGTACAAAATGTTAGATATAAATATATTTACAGCTATATGTACAGTTATTTCTTACATTAAGTACTAGTATACCTACGTATTTCTACAAGTTATTAAGGGGAAATTGCTAAAAGCAGACCGAAATTAATATTTAAAATCAATGTTTGACTACAATTTGTATTGATAACATAAATTTTTTTACTGCTTGGACTAGGGCAATCTTCTTATTTGACTCACATGTCATATACAAAGATGTAAAAACTACATATATTAATAAAACGAAACTAAACTCATCTCAATTTCCGTTCCTCTAACTGTAATGTTTCAAGGTAATTATATTATATAATTCAAATAACGGTCACACGGCTCTACCGATTGCCGCACACTTTGATCCTACTTCGCTATACAACGGTGTGATGATGATGATGATAGTTAAAACAGGATATGACCTGAAAACCCTGCCCCAAGTCTAGTTGGTTTATTTTTGCATCATCATTACAGTCAATCATTATAGTGATTAAGTTTACGTTTTCACATTGATTATTAATAAAAAATATGGTTAATCGTTTTGTTAGTGTTTATCGCTAGTAGAATCAAATGTAAAAGAGAATCTCAGACCTCTTTTAGAAAACAGTGGCAAACTCCTGAATTTCTTTTGATAAGACATGTATATTACACAGATAATACTATTTTTGAAAACAATATAAGAGAATTAATTATAAGTCAAATCGAAACAGGATTTCTGAATTCAATGGCAAGACATGTCACGTTAAAATATATCTAAAGGCTAAAAAAACTATAAAGTTCTTGTAGTAAACAGGAAATCTCATTTATAAAAAAGGTTTCTTTAACCTGTTTTTTTTTCTTTGAGATGAGTGGGGGTTTTGGATATGTGAAGATTTGTTTATCTACACGGGTCGACACTTACATACTTGTACTAAAGCTTACACACATGTTATTAAGCTGTATACATATTATAAGACAAATGTTTGGCTAAATTTACATAAATAGACTATTTCACTGGTTATGACCACCTAGCCACATTGTTCTGTAAAATTATTGTTACAGTGTAACATGGCGGTTGAATTTTAGGATGAGTTTTTTTATTACGAAAATGTTTTATGAGTCCCTTCCTAACAGAGACCATGGTAACTTCAAAAGTATATTGTTCGAGGAATCATAAAGGATGATCTATTTACGAATTGTACAATATTTACATATATTTACATGGGTACCTTAAGGATGTGTCTTAGGTCCCTTTTTATTGTTTATCACTAATGCACAGAATCAGTCCTCGTTATCGTTGGTGTGGGAGCTTTGTCCTCGTTTGACAGAAGAGCTTGCTGATCGTTTGCAGCTATGTCCTCTTCTTCCTCTTCTTCTTTTACTGTTTCCATTGTTGAGTATGCCGGGTTGGCATTACCAACGACGCCTTTGCCTATCAGGTAATATGTCATGAGTTGTCCCTTGCCTTTAACTGACACTAAACCACGCTGCTCGAAGATATAGCCGAAGTTCTGCAGAATCGCACAGGTCTCCTCGGTCACCTAAAACAAGATGAGGTAGACAAATTTAAAAATTTCTTAGTAATTAAGGAGTATTAGAGACAGTGACTTATATTATATTATATCATATGTATATAATTGGGGCTTATATTATATTGTAAAACCCCCATCTTAAGATTACTTCAATTCTACACATACAATAGTTAAAACAAACTTCTACAGCACATTAATCCGTTAACTATCATTTTATGCATCTCCATTATTATGGAGATGCATTTTAATCTTGATTAATCTAACCTTCTGTAAACTTTTTATATTAAATTTTTATAAACAAAAACATTCATAATTTTATTGCTGAAACAGCTTCCAAGGTTGTGTAAAGGAGTTTCCCTTTAGTAGCGTTCTTCACATAAAAGTTATCAGTTGGTACTTACTTGGTGATTTCCTCATAAGGTTTACCAGCTCATGATTTAATATAAGATTTTACTAAATGTTAATTTACCTAACAGTACATGAAAAATTGTGTTTATTTATTCAAACGAAATAAAAACTCCCTTTTTCCAGGCAAAGTTAGGGCTATATGACCCTTTCTTACACTTAGCCTGACTAATTATTTGTAACCACTGAACTTTTGTATCATAAAACTGTCCAAAGCACTTGAATACATTCTACCATTCAGCATGTATAACCATTTAGTAGCTTAGAGACTTGTTTTAATATGTTTTTAAAACAATTATTTGTATTAAATTGAAACGGTAATTTTACTGGAGCTACCATTTTACTGTTCTCTATTTATTTCATTAAAGTCCAGGGTTTGACACAACATACCTGGATACACCCAGCTTTGCCTGTGCTCTCCATCCTGGACGCTACGTTTACAGAATTCCCCCAGATGTCATAGTGAGGTTTGCGAGCACCGATCACTCCAGCAGTAATAGGTCCGTGGTTGATACCTACGATGTAATGCAACATTTTAGTAAACACTAACCAAACCTAACCTAAACTAGCCAAACACTAATGGCATTTAAATTATCTGAAAAGGTACGTACAAAGAAATGTGAATTTATATTTATTACGAGAAAGGTGGCAAGTTTTTAATGTAATTTCAATAATTGTAGTAACATCTTCACTACCCTATTCTAACCTGACCCAAATGTAATTTGAATTTTGTTATAAATTAAAATAACCATATTGGAAAAAGAAAAGTGATTGGCATTATATGTAATAATCTATAACATTTGTGGTAGAAAGTCAGCAATGCAAATGAAATAGTTGTTGTCATACCTAAGAAAGCCTAACCAAACCTAGTCTAACCTAGTCCAAATTGTATATAAGTTTTATAATTAATTATTTGAATATCCACGACCAATCTTAATGCAACTTGTGAATTTGCTAATATGCTATTAATTTGTGTCCTGGAAAGTGAGTAAGGTAAACTAAATTAAAAGTTTGATACCAACCCAAAGAAAGTAGTTCATAATTTAAAATGCCATGATACATTGTAATTGAAAAAGAAGATACAATCCCCTCGTATGTTATAATTTGTAATGTGTTAATAGCAAGCCTTCAACATCCCTTGAACAGTGAATGAGATTCAAATTGAGATTAAGAGTTTTCTTTTGAAAATGTAGTTATACAGAATAACATAGGTGCATCACAAGAAGCAGCCAGATTCATTAGCTAATTTTGTTTTGTTTACTGAAAAGAGTCCGATTGATTTAAACTGATACTGTGCAAACTTGACGGGGCAAATTTCCGAATTTCAAAAGTCTATCTTTAATCATCAGTGACTTAAATAAAGTCCTAGTTGAAAATGTATTGATCAATGAAATAAATGTACATCAACTTAATTATTAGATATTACAAAAACAGCTATTTTCCTTATACTTAGCTTAGCCCAATTGAGCTTCACTGTTCATTATTAATAATATCCCTATAATAATAGGTTTTTGGTTTCGATAGCTATATAGTTTTACTCTTATGTCTTTTTTAATTAAAACGATAATTTTTTACTAACGAAAATTTTGATTTCAAGCAGTTAACTAATTAGCATGTACCAGCATTTCAATTGGTTTAATTATTTCCACTTACATACTCCTGTATGATAAAATTAATTACAATTACCTGAGCATAATTATGTTTACACTAATTTATTGGTTTAACAGTCTTGAAACAAATTGTAATCAATAGCTTCCTTTGATGTTAACAAAACTAAAACTACACTTTAGCTAACCGTGTTTTCAACAGCGATACCCTAAATAGGTTCAATCTTATTACACCACAAAGAACATCAAACTTACCCATTTTCAAAACAAAGTGGTTGAAACTTTGTTCGTTTATGCTTTGCAAAGCTTTCTTCAGCTCGAAAGCGAATTCCACAAGTAAAGACAAATGTGCCCATCTGACTTCAATGGGATCTTCTGGCTAAAAAATAAAATTAGATTTAAATTTTATTTCTGAACAACAAATCTCATTTGATTCCTTTGAACATGACCCTATCCTTCAATGACTCAAAATTGTGCTCATTTAGGTAAAAAAAATCTATACAAATAGTATACTATTGCGTTTAAAGAGTGTTATAGGTTTAACTTAAAGCATTTATTATTACTTACTTATATTATTTACTCTAGACAATTTATTTTTCATAAACCCTTACATACACTTTCAAAACATTTAATAAATAAATATTGTTAAAATTAACACTGAGCATTAGTAACAGTTTATTCAATAAATAATGTTAGAGTATTACATTCCCGAAAAATATAGTTTTTTTTTATAATGAACCCTTTCCCAAGAGCGGTATTCTTAGTTGAAGGGTTGTATTTAATTACTTTGAAATAGCGAATATGAGTCAGATGTACATTTTGTTTTAATATATAAATGTTTCTTTACTTTTATCCTGAGTTAATATTGTTATTCTTACATTAGATGATCCATGTTTAGAATACGGCAATGTTATTAGTATTGATTCTGCATTTTATTAAAAAAGATAAACTAAAGAGATATTCATTTTAATAAGCAGTAACATTTTTTTCCTCCCATCACAAATGGGTGGGTCCGTAACTGGTATACAGAGGTTTTTAGAACCACATTATTATCTTCAGTATCCTCACCTCTTTGCAAAGCATGGATAAAACAATTACTAATAACCAAAAGGTTCAAATCTTAAGTTTACCTCTACCACGTAGTGACCTCATTTCGTAACAAAGCGAGAAGAAATTTTGGAAGTTTCAGTCATATTCCTTTTTATTTCACACAAAAATGGGTTCAAGCATTGTAAGTTTTACTATGTTTTGTAATTTAAGTCTATAGCTAAAAAAAACAATTAAAAAATAATTAAAAGCAAATCTTATGAAAGACAAATTAAAAGCAGAATAAAGAAACTGTCTTTACATAATTAGTAATAGTAATATTTTAATACTTACTTTTACTTTTCTGGAAGGATTCAGTCCGCTAGCAGCCATATAAGTAGATCCAATTGTTTTTATTTTTATAATATCTTGGAACTTTGGAAGCTCCAGCAACTGGAAAAATATTTTATTTGTTTAAATATTGTCTTTAATCACTTTTTTTTAAATGTTAACTTGTTTTTGTCAATTTCTACCACATACGTCATATACTTTGTAATGTGATCAATTAATTGACAAACGCCAAATTTATCTGAAGTTACTGAAAGTTCTTAACTAATAAATATTAATTTTTTAACTGGTTTTTAATGTTATAGTAAAAGTAATTGCAGTGGGAGGTTCAAAATCCTTTGGGAAGAAGAGTTTGATGCAAAGAGGTGAAATTATGAAAGTTTACGTTGTATATATTTCAATAATTCATTTTAATTAAGAAAGTAAAAGATTGGAATCAGATAAGAGTATCTAAACACGTATCTCTTTAAAACGAGCAAATAATATCAACAATCCTTTTTGTAACCACAATATTCTACAGAAAACACAATTCAACTACATTTACAATATACAAATAGTAAGTTAGTTTATTATTATACCATACTTACGGCATCAAAATCAGATATAACTTCATTCAAGAACCTTAGGCATTCTAGCCCTTGATTATTTACAGTTTCTTCAGAGTAAAAATCTGTAACAATAAACATATTATTTAAGATGATAAAAAGTAAAAGAAGTTTAACAATCATGGTAAGTTAATTATATATTATAGCTAAATTACTGAAACTTATTATAAAACCGCAATAAAAAGTCAAAGCTAACTAAACCTTTTCATGAATTTGAAGAAATCTATTCATGTGACACCAATTGCTAAACTTACTCTTTAGCTTGCCAGAAATGTTTTAATTCAAGTAAGAAAACCACGCTATAAAAAATTATATAGTAGCCAATAGTTTTACTGTGATACTAAACCATGACATATGCAATGATCCTAATTTAAATAGTGCTAATAAATAGTTTCTTAACTAATATTTATTCTAAGATAAGATACGGTAATTTAATTATCTTGTTATAAAGAATAAGGAAATGCTCTCAAGTAGATAAAAAAGACTAAAAATAGCGTTTCTACAAATAATGTTATCATAAAACAATATTAAAATGCCTTTAAATTGTTTTACAAATATACACATCAGCTTGATCAGTCTTCGTTAAATTTATTTTAACAACAAACTTCATGTGTTCTGCTGTATGACAGAGTAAATAGCTGTTATTGTAATTGAAATAGTGTGACCCACTAATACAAAAATAGAATTTTGCCATCCCTAGTTTCGTGATGCGATTCTATAATTCACAAAGAATAAATGTGGCTGGCAAACTGGTAAACTAGTACAAGCGTAATTCTGCAATTAAAAGTTTTGACCATCTGCAAATCTAAAACTTGATTAGATATGCTTTCAACATACCGAGTTGAAAATTAGAGATGGATAGGTGTTATGTTGTGTAAATGGTGATATGTTAGCATACCTATTCACCATACATTTAGCATTTTCCTGAAATGAAATCTATAGAGCAACAAAAACCACCTACACTAATTCTTTAATAAGTTTACAGTGTCATAATCAGCCCCACCTGAGAAGTTTGGCATGGACGCGAACAGCACGCCGACTTCAGCGTAGCTCTGGCTGTAGAGCTCCTCGTGCTGACGCTTCCTGTTGCCGAGGAAGTGTGCTGCGACGTGCTGAGGCAGGATGTTGTAGACTAGAGCCTCATTGCGTCTCCTGATATCAGAGGCTCGCTCCCGCTGCTCCTCCACCTCTGTCTTCCACAGGAACAACACACGGGAGGCCTTCTCCATCTATAAGGGAGAGAGTGCGTTGAAATGGGTGGTTGGTATAATTGCAGATTTAGATGGAGGTAAATTTGTTTAATTAAAAAGTTTTAATTAATTGGTATTTAGAAGTCAAAGCAGCCGATTTGTGTTAGTTAAATGTGACTGTTACATAGCTGTCGGCAACTGATGATAAAAGAAAATTTTACACTGCTCTTACATTAACTGGGGGTTTAAATCAAACAAATAAAATATACGTTGAAAAGGAATGTTGAAATAAAACCACCAAGAGTTCTTGGCAGCCAAAGGCTTAAATACAAATTGAAATTGGTTGTATGAATCACAAACTTCAACATTCGTAATTAAATCGTAGTTATTTACATTCAAAAACTCTTAAAAAAATTTTAAGATACAAAAAAGTTGAAACTTGATATTTTTCAATTCAATGTTGAATTTTAAAAAATTGCCTGGAACTGTAATACTGTATATATTAATTGGTTTTACATTACCTTTTATCAGTTCCAAAATAAGTAAGTTTTTGGAACTGATAAAAGGTAATAAAAACCAATTAATGGATTTTTTTAATTAGCAGGAAAAGCCTAATAGACAATAATTGAGATAGTTGCGAGAGAAGAAAAGATAACTTAAACACAATACCTCTAATAATTAGCATATCAATTATTTTTGTGATTAAAACAAAGCTATGTTTAACACTGTTCATTATGTTTTTTCCCCTAGAACTGGTAGTGTAAATACAGTAGCATAGTTGACAGTATTAATTTAGATAAGAGATTTTTTATAGTTTATGTAAATATTTCATTATGTTTTTACGTAGCTAATGTAATTTTTGTTAATTTTGCTGAATAAACGACTTTTGACTTATATTAGTAGTTTTGATTAAGAAACAGTCTTTCAAATTTACAACCGATGATGATCTAGATTTAAAATTAAACACAATACAAAGAAAACAAATCACATAGGAGCAACGGAAATTTCTTAATTCTATATTTTGATTCCCTGTGTTCCGTATTCAAGCGCTACCTAGATATTTCCAGACGTTTCATATCATACAATAACCTTTGTCCTGTCACGTGATGTCTGGAAACCCCAATCTCGCCCCAGTTCTCTTGCATTCATGCAACTACTAACATGTCCCCGGCACAATTAACTCCCAATTGCTGCTCTCATCTCTTAACCCCAAAGTATATTTAATTATTATTAGTGACACATATTAAAAGTGAACTATTGAACATTTGTGAAGTGAAACACTACTACTGCCGGTCCGGGTCTGTGTACGAGCAATACGCAATAGCTGGCCAGCAGAAGAAACTCGTGTACGTCTACCGGCTTCGTCTTCTCAACACTTCAGTTAAAAGGAAGGTACCTCATCAATCTCATTACAGTATTATCTGTTAAATAATTAGTGACAAGTTTTTAATATTGCTCTTTCAACATACAGTCCATTTGAACATTTTTAGGCAAGTTTACCCCCCACCCGCTGGTCCTGTCGAGTCGGACGAAAATCTTATCATTAATTTAATAATATAGTGTTCTTTTATTAGCCTAGCTACTGTAACTGTTAAAATTGTACAACTAAACTCTTAAAAGTGTCACTTCTCTAAATAATTAGAGCAGTATTTGTATTCCCCATTACTATTTTTGGTGAATAAATAATATTTTATTCCATTCCCCTGTGCCATCTCAGACGTGAATATTTCATCATTTCATGTTAGTTTCCTGTTCATGCCCTCCCACTGCTACATGAATCACTCATATTTCCTTTCAACTAGTTATTTGAAATCAGGAATTAGTTAGGATATTTAATATTTTCTCTAAGTTTCTCAATCAATTCACCATATCAATTATTGTCATTAACAATAATTTTTGTCTGCACTTTGTTTTGTCCTTAATTTTCTAACATATTTTCACTTATCAGAAAGTCAGCCATTTTATATTTTCTGTCCTTGCGATGCACCTTGGTAGCGAACTTCTCCACTAGAGCGCTCTGCCTACAGTCTGCACGTCGCAAGAACCAATGAGCGTCGAGATTCGTAAAACAGAATAAATCGCCCAATGATATTGCTTCTTCAAATTGATCATATTTAAAACTCAGTTTCAGTTTCAAGCACAGGAAATCAGCTGACTGAATATAAAACACACGCCAGCTACATACAGCTGTGTGAATTGAATCAAAATATAAACGTAACCTTAAAGTTTATTTACATCTTGGAAAATATTGTTTTGTGTGAATATTAAACGAAATATTAGTGGTTGAATCGATTCTTGTCTACATTAAGGATATTGCTCATAATAAATACTTCCCTACTCAATTTATTCTGCGAAAATACTGATTCAAATTAAATGACTTGTGTTAAATAGACTTTACTTTTATTTACTATGTCTATCCTGGGTCTGATGGTAAAGTGAAATATAATTTTACATTCATTATTTCTTATAGAGTGAATGTAAATGAATTGATTTATTCTGAGCTATTAATTTGCATTATTGTTAGGTCTAAGACTTGGAGTTATTTTGATATTTAGGTGTTGGGGAATATTTACATAGGCCTAAACTTATGATAAACTTAGGCCTATAGCTTACTCTTTTGATTACATAAATGGTCTGTTAAAATGAGATTCTCTACACTGGAGAAAAAGGCAAAACTTGTCAAAAATAGGCTTCAGAAAATAGGCAAGTTTGTGTCAGCCCAAATTACTCTCTCAGAAACTCAATCATTAAATGTTGTTTCCATTCAGCGCTTACACAACTATGATGATGAAGGTTTATTCTCTGATTTTAAAGCTTTATTCGATAAAGTGGTTTATGATGATCCTGGTTCTGATTATGATGAAACTGAAGCATGCTCTATGCAAGATGAAATTTCGGACTTGTACATTTCTCTGATCAGTGACTTGAAAATAGTGTTACCTGCTAAAACTAAAGAAGTAACACCTCCCACCCAACCATCTCTGCGACTGCCCAAATTTGAGTTGCCCAAATTCAGCGGTAACTACGAAGAATGGGTTAGCTACTACAATATTTTTGAGGCTTCTATTAATAGGAATGAAACTTTGGCCCCTGTGAGTAAGTTCCAATATCTGCTTAGTTCTTTAAGTGGTGAACCCTTAGATTTAGTAAAGAGCTTGAGCATAACTGCAGAAAACTTTGATGTTGCACTTAGGCTGCTTAAGGATCGCTATGATAACAAAAGGCGTGTTGTAACTCAGCTTGTTACAAAAATCATTGATTTGCCATGCATAAGTAGTGGTTCTCTCAAAAGTCTCCAATATTTTCTCACAGTTTATAAAGAGAACACTCAAGTTTTGAAAAATCTCAACCATGACATAACAGCTGAAAATACTCTGCTTGTCCTAACGCTTTTGAAAAAGTTACCTACTGATTTAAGAAAATCTTTTGAGGATTCTCGCATCACAAACAATGACATACCTGCAGTAAATGATCTAATTCAATTCCTTGAAAGAGAATTTAAACGATTAGAAGGAGCTAGTATCGGTCTTGGTCCCTCAGCTAACGCAAGATACCCTTCAGTGCAAAAGACTCAATCTAATAGTTATAGGCCTAAACCTCTTCGAGATAGTAAACCTTACTCCTCTCAAGCTAAAACAGCTTTCGTCACAGTGACTAACACTTGTAAGTTTTGTCAAGCATCCGATCACAATATATACAAGTGTCAAGCCTTTCAGGCTAAAAGTAGAGGTGATAGAGTTGAATTCACTTGTAAAAATAATCTATGCGCCAACTGCCTAGGCCATCTACATGATACTAATAACTGTCCTTCTCATAGAGTGTGTCGAATTTGTTCAAAGCGACATCACACTCTCTTACATGACTCAACTCCCACACAACAGCAGCCAAGTTACCCAACCAAGGTTTTTGAAAAAAAATATGGTAAGCCGCCTACAAATAACGCACCTCAAAGCCATGTCACCGCACCAGTGAATAAAAGTGCTCTTGTAGGATTGTCTAGCCAGTTAAACCCAACTAAAACAACAATTTTACTTGGTACATGTTTAGTTCAGGTGTTTTCCAAAGATGGTCAGCAAACTGTACTCCGTGCTGTGCTCGACTCTGCATCTCAACTTACATTGATATCTGAAAGAGCTGTTCAGCTCATCAGTGCCTCCCGTACTCGAGCACATGATGAAATCCAAGGAATTTCTGGCTCACTAATCCATTCTAGAGGAATAGTGCACATTGATATATCTGCAGTTAATGGTCAACGCTTAGCCTACCATCATCCATGCTTGGTTTTGAATCGTATCACTTCACCACTGCCTCAGGTCCCAGTCTCACCTCAAGTGAAGGGATCTTTAAATGATTTTGTTCTTGCAGACCCCTGTTTTGACAAACCTGGAGAAATTGATCTATTGATCGGAGCTGATTTATTCGCTCTCTCACTGACTGGTGAGCAGCACTTCTTAGGCCATAACCTGCCCCAAGTTTTAGGAACTATATTCGGATTTGTTGTAATGGGCATAGCTCCTGTTGCTACATCTGAGTTATCAATCCCAAAAACTGTTTCTTTTCTCACTACACATGATGGAGACCTTCACAGTTCACTTCAAAGGTTTTGGTCAATCGAAGAACCCCCGACATGTGTCAAGACTCAGTCAGAAGAAGATGTTCTCTGCTTACAGCATTTTGAAAGAACCCATACACGTGATAACTCTGGTCGATATGTTGTTAAGTTACCGAAAAGACCAAATCATCCACTATTAGGTGAATCTTGTAGTACAGCTCAACTTAGACTTAAAGCGGTGGAAAGAAAATTCGCTGCTCAGCCCGAATTCAAAGATTTATACTCCGAATTTATGGATGACTACATCAAATCAGGTCACATGAGTGCATGTGAGCAACCCCTTTCTGGTGAATGTTACTATTTACCCCATCATGGAGTATTTAAGGAGAATCCCCCTAATTCCAAAATACGAGTCGTATTTGATGGTAGTTCCAAAACAAACAATGGCGTCTCCCTAAACGATATCCTCATGCCTGGCCCTAAGTTGCAGAATTATATTAGTGATGTCTTGCTGTACTTTAGGTGTCACAAGTTTGTGTTCACTTGTGATATACGACAGATGTATCGCCAGATTCTGGTGGCTGAAGATGACAAGAAATATCAGTTAATCTTTTGGCGATCCAACCCTGATGAATCCCTTCAAGTCTTAAAGCTAAATACCGTCACCTACGGTCTCAACTGTTCCCCTTCATTGCGATCAGAACATTACAACAATTGGTCAAAGATGAGGGTCACTCATACCCCAAGGCGTCTGAGATTCTAACTAAATCAATATTTTATGACGACATCATCGCTGGAGCAGAAAGTCTTGATGAAGCTTTGTCTGCACAGAATGAACTCAAGAACTTACTCTCTAGAGGAGGTTTTGAGCTCCGGAAATGGATTAGCAACGCACCCCAACTATTGGACCAAGTCCCAATTGAACACAAAGAGACTCCAGTGGAGTTAACTGAAAATAGTGAAGCCTTCTTCAGTGTCCTAGGTCTAAAATGGACCCCAGAGTCCGACATGCTTTCTTACAAGGTTAAGGATGTTGAAATAAGTGCTATACTTACAAAGAGAAGAATATTGTCTACAATCGCTAAACTGTACGATTTACCAGGATTTCTTACACCCGTAATTTTCTGGGCAAAAACACTTATTCAGTATCTCTGGACAACAGGGCTAACTTGGGATGAACCTGTTCCAAATGATGTTAGAACCAAGTGGCATTCATTCTTAGAAGAACTCCCAATAATTCAAGAATTAAGAATTCCACGCTACATTTCTACTTCCCTGCATACGGCTGTGCAACTCCACGGCTTCAGCGATGCTTCAGAGAAAGGCTACGCTGCTGTTGTCTACCTTCGTGTCACTGACTCTCAAGAGAATACAAGGCTCTATCTCATCGTCTCTAAATCAAAAGTCGCTCCTTTGAAAAAAATTTCTCTGCCACGGCTTGAACTTTGTGGCGCTCACTTACTGGGAAAACTCCTTCAATATTCTTCAAACATACTCTCTGCTCATATGAAGATTGAATCAATCTATGCTTGGTGTGACTCCACAATTGTCTTAACCTGGATACGTACTCTTCCATACCGCTTGAAAGTCTTCATTGCCAATCGTATTTCAGAACTCCAAGAATTGGTCTCTCCTCACTCATGGAATTATGTCAAATCTCAAGACAACCCGGCAGATTGCGCCACTCGTGGTCTTTCACCCTCTCAACTTGTGACTCATCATTTATGGTGGAATGGACCGGAATGGTTACAGTCATCGCCAGATTCTTGGCCTAAGCCAAAATTCACACCTGTTATTGATGATGACACTCTTGAAATAAGGCCAAATCCTCTAAACGTTCTAGCAACCACAGAGAAGATTAAACTCACTGATTTTGATATACTAGAAAAATATTCATGTTTCAGGAAACTTGTAAATGTCATGGCATATATATTGCGATTCATTCATAATCTGCAAGCCAATGATCACCGCATTGGACGACTTACTTGCCAAGAAACTTCTTTAGCGAAATTAAGAATTTTCAAACTCATACAAAATACATCATTTAAGGATGACATCTCTGCTCTCAAAAAGGGATCTCAATGCAGCTTAAAACTTGCTCGTTTATCCCCATATATTGATGACAGTGGAATAGTGCGAGTAGGCGGCAGGTTGAAACATTCCAGCCTTACACAAGATGCGAAACATCCAGTTTTGTTACCTAAATCTCACTGTACTGTCAAACTGTTGATTATGCATTATCACCTAAAGCATCTACACGCAGGCCCTCAATTGCTGCAGTCTATTCTGTCTCAAGAGGTTTGGATATTATCAGCCCGCAGCGTGATAAGATCTGTGATTTTCAAGTGTCAAAGATGTTTCAGACTTAAGCCTGTAAACAAACCTCCACTGATAGGAGATCTTCCTGAAACTCGATTAAAACCTGTAAGGCCATTCTATCACACTGGCATGGACTATAGTGGACATTTTGACATTAAAGTTCATTCAACTAGGAACGCTCAACGGTTAAAATCATACCTCTGCCTCTTTGTATGTTTTGCTACGAAAGCTGTGCACCTAGAAATTGTAACAGACCTATCTGTAGACTCCTTCATAGCTGCACTAAAACGTTTTGTTTCTCGTCGTGGATTGTGTGCCCACTTATACTCAGATTGCGGAACTAACTATGTTGGAGCCTCAAAGCAACTCATGAAAACTTTTCAGAATTTCATCAAGGAATCAAACACTAAAGATGCTCTTAACAACTTCGCGTTAGATCACTCAATAAATTTTCACTTTCAACCACCAGCCGCTCCCCACCAAGGAGGCCTATGGGAGAGTGCTATAAAAAGTTCTAAATATCATCTGAAAAGAGTCATAGGCGATCGAGTTCTAACACTAATGGAAATAATAACACTCGCCACACAGGTGGGGGCTGTACTCAACTCGAGACCTTTGACAGCATTATCCGCAGATCCATCCGACATCTCAGCCCTTACCCCGGGTCATTTTCTTATCGGCACTTCGCTTGTGGCAGTACCGGAACCAAATCTTGAAGAGGTTCCCGAAAATCGTCTCAACCATTGGCAAACTGTACAAGCCCTACATCAACGCTTCTGGCGACGTTGGCATCAAGAATATTTACATCAGTTACAACAAAGAAAGAAATGGGAAAAGCCCAACAAGAATCTAGAAGTGGGTGATCTCGTTATAATTCAGGACCCTAGAACACCACCACTACTTTGGCCTCTTGGACGCATAGTGAAGACTTCGCCTGGATCGGACGGCATCGTCCGAGTTGTCACCATCAAGACTCAGCGGGGAACCTTCTGTCGTCCTGCTACCAAGGTGTACCCGCTCCCCTGATCTCATTATCAGACCAAACAAAATGTTTATTCTATTTTCAAACATATTTCTATTTTCAATGTATATATATTTAATCTATGTTTCTTATATTTCAATGTCAATCCATATTCATTATGTGTCACTTTGTAACTTTCTCAATGTTTTGAACCATGTACGGTTCAAGGCGGGCGGCATGTTCCGTATTCAAGCGCTACCTAGATATTTCCAGACGTTTCATATCATACAATAACCTTTGTCCTGTCACGTGATGTCTGGAAACCCCAATCTCGCCCCAGTTCTCTTGCATTCATGCAACTACTAACATGTCCCCGGCACAATTAACTCCCAATTGCTGCTCTCATCTCTTAACCCCAAAGTATATTTAATTATTATTAGTGACACATATTAAAAGTGAACTATTGAACATTTGTGAAGTGAAACACTACTACTGCCGGTCCGGGTCTGTGTACGAGCAATACGCAATAGCTGGCCAGCAGAAGAAACTCGTGTACGTCTACCGGCTTCGTCTTCTCAACACTTCAGTTAAAAGGAAGGTACCTCATCAATCTCATTACAGTATTATCTGTTAAATAATTAGTGACAAGTTTTTAATATTGCTCTTTCAACATACAGTCCATTTGAACATTTTTAGGCAAGTTTACCCCCCACCCTGTGACTAAATATGGCACACTTTATTTTCTAAAATCACCTTAAATACTTACATGTCTTGCTAGGAAGGCTAATGCGATTGTTACTGCAACGAGGAGAATAGACAACGTAAACTTGCCTGCAGTCATACTGAAACAGTTTACACCCTGGTTTTTAGCATATGCAAATTGTGTCAGCTAACATTATTCACGTTTTATCAGTTTTTGTGATGATATGTTATTAAATGGTGGTAAAATGTATATTTTTGAAGAATATGTAACTAGATACAACCCACTTTAGTGAAAACTTTATAGGCTAATGTCTAGTGTCTACGCGCTTATATCTATTACACACCATGTCATAAACTAACTTGTGAACTTTGAGCAATTGATTACAGGATAACTTTGATTGATTGGCAACTTTGTCAATCTAACTGTTATTAGGCTAACAGTATTAAGGTAACACTCCAATACAGTAACAGTATCATTTGAAGGTTATAATCACAGACTAGGAAATTATGATACAAATAACAGTATGATTCATCAAATCTCCTTACAGCAAGGTAGCCGTAATGGCAGCGTCTCTAGCTATTACAGCAGATTTCATGGTTAGCCTATATTGGTGTAGGACTGCTGTATTCTTTGTAAAGTTCTCCATTGCGAAACATCCATTACCTAATTATTGACGTAAGACTTGGGCCCGGAGCCAATCACTGAGCGCTGCAATTTTATTTTGGCCGTGAATCAAAGTAAACAGTTTTAATTATGAACAAGTATGAATTAAATCTATTAAATGACTGGGAATTTTTTGTAGCCCATATACAGCTAGGTTAGTAAAGTGGGTGTTTTCATAATTACCCCGCAAAAAAACTGGAGAAGACCTTCATTCCTGGTCCATAAGGTGGAAAAATTATATTTTTTCGTAATCAGTATAATAATGAACGTTTTACTTTAGTTTTTTTTTTCTAATAACAAAATAGCTGTATTAAGGAACGTAAACTTGGGGTTTCATTCAAAGTAAACTGACTGGTTCAAGTGTTTTCAGAAATTTCGGTAACATCTTAGTCGCACAAACATCAACTTTGAAGTTTTGTCCATAGAAGCTTACTTGTTGAAGTCCCTATGGTTGATGTACTCCTCATTGTCTAACGCTGGGGCGATGACAGTGATGTTGACAACACATTGCGCCACAGTCAGCGCTATCAACACCACAGTCTTGACCAGGTGTGACAACTGCGCAGGTAGACAAGCAGCCACTAGTACCAACACTGTGAAGTAGTTGAAGTACGATGGATATAGACACTCCTGGGCTGGGTCTTCAGGCATGGTGAAGTTGACGAATACTGGGGCTGATGTGCACGAAGCCTGCCATGTGAGAGAAACTTTAAGTTATATCCTTGAAGTTAAGAGCTAATGTATTTGGAAAAAAACATGAATAGCAGTTATTCTAACTTTCCCTTCTTATAGATCAATCAAGAAAATTATCAAGTGCAATTATTTGCACTGCATTATTTACCAAATTGTAAAGCACGAATGGTTTGGCTGCAAAATATTGTTTTTTAGATGTTATAACACTTTGATTAATAATTTGAACAAGTAGCATGCAGTTTTATTAGTCCTTCACTTTATTGTGAGCAGTTCAGCATTTAATAACAATGATAAAAATAATATCAATGATTTGTTATGCAATACTCACAATACTCAGAGTTCATTATTCTTCACTTTAATAAACAGTTTTTCTCCATAACATTGTTTCCCACTTATCAAAATTAATCATAATGTACTAGGTACTGTGCTAAATCTTGATAATTAAAGTAAGATTTTCATATTTTGTCTCTAATTACAAGGGGTAAATATAATGTCAAAGATAAAATTAAGTATTCCAAACGAAAAAAATATCAAAAGTAATTTTTAAGTATTTGATGACTTCTTTAAGTCACATTCAAAAAAATTATTATTCTACAATCATCATTACGACATATAATGAGGTTACTAACCTGTCGTCAATCATCCCTATATTGTAGTGGATTACTATACTCATACTCTGGTTTTCTACTTGGATGTGTTTATGTGTGAAGTATTTTTGACGACGACTAGATCAAGAAAATATGTTTGACATATGGCGACTGAATAAAAGATTGGAAAATGGGGTTTTAACCCCGAAACTATAGTCATCCATGATATTATAGGATTGATTGACGACAGGTTATTAACCTAATTTTATGTCAATAAATCAATCCTGGAGTCAAATTATGTATAAATCCTCGGTATGTTAAAATTTCATTACTAAGCAGTAAATTTTGGTTAAAATTGTATTTTATCCAACGAAATAAGGAACTTAACAAAACCAAGTCACGGTAACAATAAAATAAAAATCTGAAAATAAAAAAAATACATCAAAACATGAATTATGGTGATACCTTAAGTAAACAGTATTCCCTAAATCAATTTTCTCTGTTTTGGTTAACGCATTTGTTTACAAATGATAACCTTTGAAACTGTCTAGTAATTTTGAAATCGTTAACAAATTGACCTATTGCTATTGCACTCACCCCATCCACCATGCTGGCGGCCCCTAGCACAGACACTACCAAGATTCCGACGAATCTTCTCGCCCACATTGAGCTGTTCATCGTCTCACTTATTTGTACCAGGAGTTTTGGGAACATCTGCAATACACATACGATAAAGAAAATATACAGTTAAAAAATATACGTTGCTATAGGCCTATGTGTTGTGTAAACATATTATATTTAAAATTTGTAAAACTTTTGACAAATCCGTTAGTAGGATTTTTGGCCTTTTTCTACAAAAGAAATGTATATAGCTGCAAATAAATTTAAAAACTCTTTTCGATAGAAATTTACCGCTTCGTGTAATAAAGATAAATCCATATTAATTCAAGGGCAATGTGTAATAAAATACACGTAGAAAAACCTTTTAAAAGCAAGTTTGATAAAATAGAGGTTTACTAGATGTATTAGTGAGTAGTGTATTAGATGGATACATATTTTTTTTTATAGCAATGTAAAAATTAAATTCCTAATAAATTGTAAATTTAAATACATAATTTGCTACTGCTGAATTTAAATTTCAGACGTCTCTTTGAGTTACAGCATAGCAGGCTAGATAAAATACGTAAATGATACATATGAAACATTTACAATAAACTCAAGTTAGTGCAAATGCAAATGTATCTCAACTGTAAAAGCAACCACAAAAAAAAACAATAAATAACAATAAACTCATAGTAATGATCTCCCAACTGTTATAACTATAGTCACGATGTTTAATTTTTGGGTTTCAAAAATTATTAATGATCAGGAAAAAAATTAACCATGAACCTGATCTATACATACCGTTGGGAAGGCTTCAGCTATAGAGACGGTAGTAAATACTATCAGGAAAACGGAACCCAATGTGAAGGATAATATGCTCAGAATATCTCTGAAACAAAATTAACAGTAAAACATTTCATAATGTAATTTATTATAGAATGGTTGTTATTAAAACAACAATAGAGTCTTGCGTTTCTCAATGATAATTTTAGAGTATTAGGTTTTAACTGTTTTAAAAGTGTATGTCATCTTACATCTAGAAACATCATTTTATTTTGATAAAACCTACCTTCATTTTCATGAAGAGAAAACTTAGGGGTTTCTTACATCCTAAAATAGTGAATTATAATAGAACAATGAAAATTGCCTTTTTTATAAGTAAAACATCTCTGTCTACACTGAAATTATCCCAACACGCCATGAAAGTAAGTTACAGTAAGGTAAATAACGGTAATTTGCCCAGGAGCAGCACACAATTGTTCAATCTCACTTCATTTGCCTTACACCTAGCAGTATTTGGTTTCCTAAATTATGTTTACTCCACGTAATTCAATAGGCATGGTCGTTGTTTGAGTATCAAATTAAAATATTCACTTTAAAAATTATTCAGATAAGACATATCGTTTCAAGACATTATGATGCCCTATGGTCAATTTTACCACACAAATGCACTATAAATCTAGTTATAATTACCAATTAAGAGTTATTATTACCAATGTATAATTAATTATAATTACATTGTTTATAATCTCTTAAATGCTTCGTTATTACAACATATTGTTCAATTAAATACGGTATTTATTTATGAATCAAGAAGCGAATGTTTTTACTTTTGACTATCCCACTATTTTATTCTTTTCACGTATTTTTTTGTATGGGAATTGTATTCTTAAATGTATAAAGAACACTTTGGGGAGTAAAAAATAATGTTACAAATATTGAATGTGATTAAAAATATGTTGTAAAAGAACTATATGACATAAGGGTTATGAAGCTCAGACTTTTAAAACCATTAAAATCTTTCTGGTCAAAATATTAGCTTAACTCATATTCCTGACAATAATTAAAAAACATCCATCAAACGTTTTCCAGCTTGAGAGTCAAACTTCAACTTTTAAATACAGTCTCTAAAACAGCATTGAGTAAAACATCTTAATTTACAGATATTTCCTAGTTTTAAAAATAACTGTCAGCTCCACCTATACAATAAAACCTGAAAGGCATGTCAAACAAATTGAGGAAAAGTTGGTAATCCTTCTAAACTCATTTGTTTGAGAAAAAGATTTCCAAATTTGTGTAATGATAAAGCTGTCTACAAGGGAGACATAAGGTGCCATGTTTGTCTCAGAAGCATTTTATTTACCTGGGCAGAATGACCATCTGGGCCACAGAAGTGAACAGGAGGACTAGAGGACAGCCCAGTAAGGAGACTCCAGAGAAGGACTCTGCATGTTGTGCGTACTCATGTTCCTTCTTGGGGTCCTTGAAGGAGAGGGTGAACAGGGTCGTGTGCTTCGTAAGATCTCTGGATAGAAAAAATTATTAGATAGGCCAGTTAATGCATACAGTTACTGTTTGCAGTTTTGACTGTGAGTATGATTTAAGCCACTACTTTACTAATGTGGTTATTTTTAAATTTGTAGCCTAGGGCATAACAAAATTTCCTAAATACTGCCTTGGATTTTGTTTACTCGCAATAAACTTGAAGAATATGATTGTTTGGTGCAATAGCACGTTGTTTCACTAGCACGTTATTTCTGATATTTTGAAACTATTAAGCCTATAAAAATTAATTATTTGCTGATATTTTATTACGTCCTGCTCCTGCTTCAATTAAATACGTAAAAAACGTAAATTTAAAAATCTCTAAATATCACCCAAAACTGTTTTAAAAATGTCGAAAGCGTCACGGATATTGCCATTAAACAGAAACCAAGCAAGTTGTGGACTTAGACTTCCTACTCACCTGTGCGCATCTCTGTTCATTAAGTCCTTTCTCAGTCTTTTCTTGAAATCCTCAGAGTCACCTTCGGATTTGGCCGTTTCGTCAACTGGAGTTTGTCCCTAAAAGTTGAGGAATTTACTAGTTTCAATTAAATTTGTTGATAATTTTGAGAATCTGAATACCTAATAAAAATTACTAAGTACTATCATAACTACCTAAATAAAAAATATGCTAGTAATTATTATTGTTCTTGTTTTAATCAATAGTTTTATTATTATTCAATTTATAGTTTTCATTATGCTAAAATTATGGAACCCAATCTTAAAACTGAAAATTCAATTGGATTAGTATAAGATCGATAGTATTTTGACATATTTCAAATAATTATCTAATCTATTACGTTACTTAACCTTTAAAACATATTTTCTGCATCAACTATGTAATTTGTATTTGATTTTACGTTATTTTTATTAATACATAAATCTACATTGTACAGTTATCGGTAATAATTCTGAATCTAAAACGAGTGGGCCTTCTTGTAGGTAGTACGAAGTAACAATATAAGGGTTAGAATGAATAAAGCTAAAATGTTGTAAATATGTAAACTCAAATAGAAGTGATTATCATAGAAAGTTTTTGACAGTTATAAAATTAGCTTACTTTATATTTGAATCAAACCGTTCATCAAGTTTTTTTTCCTCCATGAACAACCTTAAAAGAAGTTTTGAGTGACTAGTATGAGTGGTCTTACCGCTGAGTCGATCTTGGTATCTTCAATGTAATCGTCTGTCACGTTGCCATTGCTAACTTCGCCTCTGAACTGCAACATGAAAATACAGCTGATAGACTAAACAGCTGTTTGTAAAAGTATATTTCGTACCTAGGGCCGAAAATGGGGTTTTGCTAGCTCGAGATTATCTTTTACGTTCGAGACGTAGTCGAGAATTTAAAACAATCTAGAATTGGAAACCCTTTTGTGCCGTGGCCTGAACACTATTATTTTTCACCAAACTATACAAAATTGAAAATATATTCGATAAACGCACACTAATAAGCCCAAGGGGTGTAAAAACCCCCCAAATGACGACGACAGCTGGCATTTCGGGCCTGGGCAGCAAAACGTTTTTAAACAGCTAAATACGTCATTGTATAGTAGAAAAAAAATGTAAAAGTTCGTTACATTGGGGTCACAATACCGTTTGAATTGTTTCTACAATTGCTTTTGTTTTATGTATCAAGGCGTATTCATACTAAATTAAAACCTTTAATACAACAAAAAGAAACCTTTTATATTATTTTGAGAAGCCTTGATTATAATGCCACATTTAGAAAGTGTTATACAGGTTAATGTAGAACTTTCAAGAGTCAATGGTAGAACCCTATAAACTGGGTTTATTATCTATCTAAGCTTAGATGTGTATTGGGAGAGGTGTTGGGGGGTTTCACATCTACAGTATAACTATCAACTTGTATTTTTAGGACCTGTACCTTCTGATTTAACACTTACGCGGAGCTTATTTTACTATTAATTAATAAGCTAAAACATTATCTGAATAGGTCCCCATGATAAAAGTATACAAGCATACGTTCAGATTATGTTATGACAATCAATACACTTTTTTATTTATTTTTTTCCACTAACCACTAACAACCTTTTATCTTATCATATGTATATATACACTCATATGACCAATATTTTAATGGAATTTCCCACCAGTACATCCACAGTAAAACAGTTATTTAGTAAGAAACGCTAGTTTAAACAATGAGACAAGAAAATAAGTATATACAATACATTTTGAAATGTTCAATAGCCTAAGCATATAAACATTGCTTTATTATAAAATAGTCCACAATTCGAATGATATACAATAGTAACTTAGAAACCTCGGCCAAGATCTCGTAATCCGTTGCCAGGCAACCAAGGAGCTTCCTCTCATAGACATCCTTAACACCGGAGATGAAAATCTTGTGTCACTCTTCAGGGCCGATTTGAATAAAGTACTGTATGGGTAAAATATAGAACTATAAATGTTTTAGTTTTTTTTTTAGGGGGGGACATGACTCGTTTTAGTTTATTCATTTAATCATAGCGGTAAAACGGTTCGCTGTTAACATTGTTCATTTATTAAATTAGACTTTGTCAGTAAAACACTAAAGATTTGAACTTTCTTTAAGTATTTTTTCAAATGTACTTGATTTTCATAAAATGTGACCGTTACAAAGGTTTATTAGAAGACTTTTTGAATATTTTTTCATACTTGTTTTTCAATTAAAATATGCTGTAACCATCATGATTGTTTCTCTTGTCATCTTTGTTCATGTAAAGTTTACAAAGTTTCTCAGCGGGAAAGTCATTAAGCTAGATTTTTGTACTTTTTTCTTGTACCCGATGGTAAAATACAGTGAGTAAGTTTTTAAAAGTACTTATGAAAAAGAGGTACCCTATTATAATAAGTACTAATTGGGTATCGGACTATGCAAGTGTAGCAGCTATAAAAATATATTTATCACAAGTTTATTATTTAGTTCATTAAAGTTCAACTAGCCACCACCAATTTACTTGGTTCATTAGGTTTTCTGTGTGATTAGAGGAATTTAAGTTCCATGCATTGCCTTTACAGCTTATAACAATACGTTTACTTTATAAATAATATTACAAAGAAAATTATACTTTATTTGTGACACAATACAGTAACATTTTAAGTTTCGATATTTGTTTTGAAATTATAACAAGTTGTTACTTTTAGAAAGCCCCATTATATTGCAAATCTTTAAGTCTGATCTTTAAGTAATAAAAAATGTATGCCTACCTTAAGTAATTTAATTGAACCAGACAGCTTTACTAAGTTGTCATTTACATTTGAAGGTTCATTAATTGACAAAAAATGATTTCAATAAATAAGTTGTCGTATAGAGTATTGTTTAAAGCATAGGCTATATAACACATTTCATGGATATTCTTATACGATGCAAATTTTAAATATTAATATTCTAAATTAGTACCCATATATCTATATTCATATATCATATATTCATAGTAGCTAATATTTTGAACATGTGTAACTACAGTATGTGCCAAAAAGCCAACTGGAACCACATCAATCATTATATTTTATTCATTTTCGGCACTGTTTATTTTGGCACGTAATGTATTTATATTTGAATAAAAGTTCCTAAGGTGTATGGCATGCTTCCGTACAACAAAATTTTAGTATTATAAAATGGCTTTGTAAAAGAGAACATAAGACAAATCTTCAGTATTAAAAATGGCTTTGTGAACATCATACAATTTTATTGGGAAAGTGAACAGAGTGATATTTTCCCTCGGATTCCCTGTCCCACCTAATCCGTCTAAAGAAACCTATTCACACGAACATGAGAGCTTTTGCCAAGAAATCCATTGTTAGGAAACTCCATTTCAAATACGACATTGAAAGTAAAACATCCTAATATGAAATACATTTAGACATTTAGTTACGTATTTCTTACAAACGTTATAAGATTTTTAAAATTTAATGAAATGTATTATGTATTAGCGAATTTCCCTATAGGGAAGTAGCTATTACCGTAGGTCTCATGGTAAGACTTAGGCCCGGGACCGATTTACTTTTTCATTTTGATGTCCCCAGAGGCCAAAAACACCATTCGTTCAAATTTTTATATATGTATATATATATATATATATATAGATTATATATATATATGTGTCCGTGAACACGATAACTTGAGTAATTTTTATCCGATTTTGATGAAATTTGGTTTGAAGGTGTAAGGCGGGATAAACTTGAATGAGTTCGCGATCCAGCATGATCGGACCATGGGAACAGGGTTTTATGGGGGGTTTTATGGGGGGTTTTATGGGGTAAAAATTGGTTTTTCTCACTTTTGACCCTCAAAACACAAAATTTCCCAATTTTTCTCTAAACATTCTTAAAGAGCTTAAAAAAAACAAACAATTCAGTATATCAAAGTGTTTTTGTACGGTTATTGGTTACGGAGAAAACTAAAAAAATGGTAAATTTAAAATTCCCATGTTATTCTTAAGGAGAATATTGTAAAATGTTGTAGTTTGCTTATTTATGGATATATTTTGATCAAACTTGGCAAATTTATTTATTTTATAGTAAGCTATCAATATTTTACTAAAAACCCACTTTATTAGTTTCCTTGTAGCAGCAAACCTAGGTACTCGTTAAACCTAATGTTATTTAAATAGATCAATTGAAAATCAATTCAGCCAAATGGAAATTCGCTTAGACGGCAGGTTTGCTGCGGCGGGGGTATTAGTTTTATATCTTATAATTTTACTTGTCAAATATTTTTCTTGTATTTCTCTTATATTTGTATGAAGCTTACGAAGCTTACAAGTGTAGTTAAGTAATTGTATAGTGATTTATAAGCCGAATATGAATTTTCCTATATGAGGGTAAAACTGGATTACAGATTGATGATTTTACCTATTCAATTTTATCGCATATGTATTAATATTTTAATATTTCACAGTCCTTCGACTTTGAAATATCTTTTTCATCGTAAAAGTGGAAATGTTATATAGGTAATAGTTATATTAGAAAAATCTATGTTTTTACCCTTATATCTACAGTATATGATAATAGTATCATTCAATCCTAATCTCTCTGTTAGCATGTGGATATAGTATCTCATACATTAGGCAACGTGATCAATTACTAGCACGATTAATTACCAAGCAACACACACCATCTCCCCCAGGATATGGCCAAAATCTCTAGGTATTAATTAATTAATGAGTCCCTTGTATCGTAATAATTATCAAGCATTGTTATACTGGCTCGCACTAAGAAAACAGCAAGGGAAGAGAAATACTCAACTATCTAAATATTATATTATAATAGAATATTCTATTTTTGTGTAGTTCATGCTGTCAAAACTATACACGGTAATCGTAGATCTCTGGTGCTTATAATTTTTCTTTTTCGATTATTGATATATAAGGACCACTGAGTGACAATTTATTTGTTACAAATAAATCTTTTGTAAAATTTGTTTAGGTTTTTAAATTGTTATTTCTCAAATCATGTACAGTATACTGAAATACATGTTTCCTCAAGCATTTATAAATGTAATTACGAATCGTATTGACTGTATTTTTGTTACCATGCAAAGTACAAAGATATTGGAAGGATTTGCAGTCATTCAGTAAGCAATAAAGCAAATAGAATATTACAAAAACTAATGTAATTTTTTTTAAATTTGTAAATATTTAATTGTTTCCTTGGTGTTGGCACAAGCTTAATTTTTACTTGAAGATTTATACAGGAGAAGCATTTAATCGCTTTAAGGGAAAGTGGTCCAAATCCATGTGTGTTGTGGATGTTTTGGTAATTGGACCCATCCCTCCCGCACCCAATAATACAATAACCACTAGGCTAGCGATACACCCAAAATTTGGATTTCTTATTAAAAAAAAAAAAAAAAAAAAAAAAAAAACAATAGTTATTTGTGTAACTAGTGTGCGAAGTGGCTACGCACGAGCCGCAAGCGAGTGTGGAAAGTTTCTCAATGTTACAAATATTTTTCCTACAGTTACAACGAAGCATATAATTAATTATTATTTTTTTAAACACCAAACAACACGTTTTAGGTTAGGTTAAATCCAAGCATAGAATAAAATGGGAAACACTCTGCACCAGCTGACCGTATAGTAAAGAGAGTTGCCAACATAATTTCAAGCGTACACGTATTACGTTCCTAATAAAAGCACACTGTTTTGTGTTGTTTGGTTGAAATACTGGAGTGCGGTGCGGCATAAAAAACATTATGCGACAAAAGTAAAAAGAGCGCGGCAAAAGTAAGTAAATGCAGCAATTAACTACTCTTTTTGCGATTATCTGTACAAGAAACCCCGGTTTGTTAGGTAACTGTAAAAAAAATAATTACCTTATTGAGTTTGGTTTGCCTAGAATCCCCACTTTACCCGACCTTATTACAGTTAGCCACTAAAACACTTTGATAAATCAACTCCTACCTATTGACCTTTTGGTTGGTCTGCAAGGGACGGTTGGGTTGTTCTCAAAGCAGGTTATACTGTCAAACAAACTATTACAACTTCACTTGATTGCTGCATTTGATGTTCGTGTACTAAACCAAAGTACATTTTAGACATAAATTGTTTACCAAACCAAAAAAATACAAATCACAACCAGTCCCTCTAATATTTAGCAGTGGCAATATCGATGACAACGATTTTATAAGTAACAATAATCATTTTTGAATTCATGGTCAATCGTATTGGAAAATGCTGGAATAAATAGTTTTAACGGTAGAGATATCTTATTAGCCAATACAACAGAATGGAAATAATTCATTCCGGTATTTTTTCTTTGTGATGGCATTAGTAATGTTATTCTTAGGTTGTCAGATACTCATCACTAAAATAAATTAATCACAATTTACTAAAAAATGCGGGGGTATATTTCAAGTTTACATCAAAACTCATCTTCAGCCTCTGGTTGTTACACATCCTTTTTTATGTAGATGTCACAGTTAATTTATTATTGTTTTCCAATTTTAATTTTGTTCTCAACCTCTTCTCGAATTAAAGGTATAAACATGGGGCTGATTGTAGCACTAGGTTGGGATATGGTCCTTTTATCAACCGCCATGCAAGCAGCTTCTTTAAGATTTCTTAATTTACAGTCTGCTTCCTGGTAGATCATAGTCGATTCAGTCCATTGTATTCTATGTTCTTCAGACAAGACATGTTCACTTAGTTTGGAATAATTCTCCAAATGATTACTTATGCTCTTCTGGTGTTCTTTTAGTCTCTTCTCCATAGGTCGTGATGTTTGCCCGTAATAACTTCTTCCACATTCACAGGGTATTTTATAAACTATATTTTTTGTGTCTTGATCTTTGTTCTTGGGCTTCACTCTGGTCAGAAAACTTCTCAATGTAGGTCCAGAAGAGAATACTGTTCTTATATTAAACTTTTCGTTCAATCTTCTTATTTTTTCAGACTTACCCTTGACATACGGTATAGATATGGTACAATTAGGTCTTTCTTCATTTCTACTTAAGTTATTTCTATTTAACAGATTTTTTTAGATGCTAAAAAGTATTTCACATTTTTAAAGCAACTAGACAACAATATACGAGTGTTGGTTACAATAATGAAGCATATGGTAACGGTTACTATTAGTCGCGTCACAGTAGAACTGAATAAGCTAAATAACAGCCTTTAACGATTACTTTTTAGTGGGTTAGCTTGCTACCACAACCTGAATAGAACCCCAGCATTAACGTGGACAAGAAAGCTCGTTTTGTCCTTTGTAATTACAGTAGCTAAATTTATTCAACTAAGGGATTTCAAATAGTTTGGTTAATAGAACATAGATGATTCAAATGTTATAAGTTTAGTGTGCTAGTAGTTATAGTCATTTTGTATTACCTAACTAGCATACATCAGGCAATAACTGAATCCAACGTTGTTAGATACACTACATACTGTTGAACAGCATGTTGTTAATCTTCCACAAGTGCGGATCGGGCTGATCACGGGGTAGAGCACGGGGCTTTGAGCATGGGGTTTCCAGGATCAAATCCCACCAATCACCAATGTATTTTATCCATGTGATAATGCCTCGAGGTTTGGGCTAGAACCTAGTGTAGTAAGTTGTGCAGGTGGGACATAAAAACCAAAAGAGGTAGCTGAGCTGTTAACACTCTTGGCCTGCTTACCTCAATTATTAGACAACTGAGATTTGAAAAATATTTTCACGTAAGTTTTTATTTACCATGTAAGAGTAAAAAAGCTGCATTAGTAATAGGCCTTTAGTCCTTTATTAGAAAACCCATATTCATTATTATAATATTCATTCATGAGTATGAGTTATTATTTATGAGTATGATTTAATTTTTTTTAATTTTCTTTGCTTTCACAAGCAACCCCACGAAGATATCCTACGCATATTTCAAATTTAAAAGTAAAATATAATTACATGGGGAGTATTGTATGGAGTTAGATTATACTTACAACGATAATCTGTTTTTTTACCATTATTCAAACCCGAGGACAACTGGGACTAGTTTCAAGCCCTTAAAATCTTATTATTTCATGATCGAAGTGGTGGTTTTCTGATTATAGGCGAGCACTACAACCGCTCAGCTACGCAGCTAAATTATAGACACCCAACTTAACCAAATTGTTGTACATAAACTCACACAATATATTGTATGTTTAGTATGCTTAGCAGTACACTCAATAATCAAAATGGTTAATTACCCATATTGATTCAATTGAATCCATAGTAAATTGGATGAAAAGAAAAATGTTGACTCGTTGTTACAAATGCATGTAACATCCCGTAATTCAAGTTACCATTTAGGTAACAACAATGTGATGAGGGTAAATTAATTACTCACGTCAAGGCTCAGGAGAAACCTCCATGCAGCCTTTTTGGTTAATTACCTTAATGTGAGGCTTAATCACTTGCAGGTGGTGGAACTCCAGAATCGTTATTGTTTTACACAACGTGGTTAGCAAATAGTATATAAATCGATGTGTTTAAAATTTTAACACTTTGTACTTCTGATTTACTAATCACTAAATCGGTTAACTTTGCAAGAACCTTCCAGTTGGGTAGTTAAATCCTTTTATAAAAATAGGCCTACGTTATCTAATCATTCGTGTTGTATTGTTTCTAATTGTAAAATGTTTAATGGGTTGCGTTTCACTTGAGTCTAAAGTAGCAGTTTACCCGTGTTTTGCAACGGGGTAGGACCCGTGTTAATCAAAATCAAGTGAATGGATTTTTACCAAATATACCTTTGATTTTGGAAACAATATTGCATAATCGTATATGTACTAGTCGGTTTTCTAAAGTTCATTAACAATATTGTAGTTTTCACAAGTGTTTTCAATTACTTTAACCTTAAACTCTAATTTGGAGAGTGATCCTTGAACATATTTTTATTTTATAAAGGATTGTAGCTTTGACTCATAGCTTAAAATATCACAAGTGTACAGATAATGCATCCAAACAACAATAAAAAAATACACACTCATAACATGTTTACGCCATCAATTTTTTATGTTTGATGCAAAACTGTCTTAACTAACTTGGCCAATATCACACCTAATGTTGATTACTCTAAGTGCAGAGTGGAGACGACGCTAGCGTGTGATAGTGTGGGTTAGGTTTAATACCCTTTATCCACCAAGACGCCTAGACCTGGCGTGACTAAAGTCTTGTTGATGCCATAAGATCGATCGGTCACTTTCCTTACCTTGTAGAGACGCGATTCTAGTGCAATTCATAATATTCCGCTATTAAACTTAAAATTGAATTGAATTGTTTTTCTAATGTTCTAAGTTCAAAGTTGTTTTCTAAATGTTGGGAAATAACTATGTGAAATGTATGTGGGGAAAAAAGAAATGTACAGGATTCTTGATTTCGTTCATTCAAATTTACAAGGTATTTCTTTGCGAATTTACTCTATAGGGAAGGAACTACAACTGTATGGTATGACCTAGGCCTGGGACCGATTTACTTTTTAATTTTCATGTCCCCGGAGATCAAAAAGTCTATTCGTATACATGCATCGTGTGAATGCATTTTATTTGAAGCGTTCCTCCTTTATGTAGATTTTATCCATCAATCTAAACTATTTTAATATTCTGATATTTATCAAATGGATCTACTAATCTTCACAAAACTTGTATTAATGTATTACTAGTCTTAAGTAAAAAAGAACATCCTCAATTGAACTCAACTTACCGGTTTTAGAGTTTTTACTATGAAGAACGTCTTTATCCCTGCCAGCCTCAACATTTCTTCCCTCTTCTCCCCGAGGGCTGGCTCTACTTCGAATTCCCCGTTTAGAAAACTTAACGTCTTCTCTGATATGTGAACCCTCCTGGAATGATAATTTCAATTAGGTACAACTTATCTGTAGAGTACGAGTATTTTTGTCTCTATATTTATTTTCTGAAACTTTACATGAAAAATACCCTATAGATACATATAGATATCAGGATAATTTGTTCACAAATTGAAACACGCAAACTGGATTTATGTGAAACTCTGTGAAATGAGAAATATGATTCAAAAAGAGAACTCTGTTAGAGGCGGGAACAGAGAATTTCAAGAGAGATAGCAAGATAAGATTGAGAGATTGTGTTTGAATAATAGAAACTAACTCGTAGTTTCTCTGTTTCTTTTCCTCTCAAAGTAAAATATGCTTTAGAGGATTTACTTTCGTGCTTGTGAGAAAATTCAACCTTGTGGAAAGGAAATTATACAGCAAATACTATGATAAAAATTTATGATCAATATAACCTTCATTAAATTTGTTTGATTGTATTATTAAGGTACGGTATTAAATGTAATTAGAGTTTTAAGGATATTTAAAATTTATCATTTTATCAATCAATTTATCGTTTATTTATCTATTTATTGTTTTTGGGATATAGTTAGATAATCAGTTTTTAAGTTTCACATGATTAAGGGATTTATTAGGTTATAATATTTTTTAGGATGAATGATCAGTATACATGATACTTATTCAATTAAAAGTCAATGAACCTTAACACCTGCAATAATAAAGTTCAGTAAGAGGGGTTTCATAAATAAGTAAGGGTTTAATAAAGACATTTGATCCATTGAGTAAATTTGTCTTTACACCACACCATGTTTAAGCTCACCAATTCACAAAACAGATATGCGTACCTTCTTATAAATCTGTTCCAAAAACGCTTCCACTTTGATTTGCTAGAGTTGCTCGTAAGAACGAACAGCCAAGGATGTAGGGGCCTAATTATTTATTTAGTTCGTGTTATTCTTGTGTCAATCATCTAGTCCTATTTGAAGTAGACAAATCACTCGCTCGATCGAGGTAAGAATAAGAAATATTTATTTCCATTGATCTTTATAAAAGAAATAGGACACGTCATTTGTTATAAATAATTACAAGGTGATTCAGTGTTTACAGTACAATATATTTAAATTTAAATAGCCACTTACATGAAAATAAAAGCTTTATTTAAATTTCACTTTTTAAAATATAATATTTATTTCACAGCTTAAATAATCATTAATCTTGTAAAAGGGATTTTTAACAATCCAGTCATACAGTTTATTTTTAAAAATATTGTAAGAAACTAATTTTGCTTCTTCATGCAGCTTATTAAAAAATTTATACAATTTAACTTATATGAATGTTCGGTTTTTGCCAATCTGGGCTGCAATATATCTATTTTATCCCTACCTCTTGTATAGTGGTTGTGTACGTCTTTTCTGAAAGAGAATTGATCTAAGTTTGACTTTGTATATATTAGAATTTGGAATATATAAAGATTTACTATGGTTGGTATCCTGAAATTAATGAAAAGAGGTTTACAGTGTGTAGCTGAGCATTCTCCAGCAATGCTTCGAACCGCCTTTTTTTGTGCCCTACAATGATGTGACTACAATATAACAATCAATAACCACTCTCGATACATACGATTATTGGCAAACGAAGATTTCAAGTACAAATAGCTCGTTTTCTTGACCCAATCTGATTTTTTGTTTAGTCTAGGATTTAAAAAAACCGCTTTAGCTCCGTAACCCATGGCGAAAAAGTACTACAAACCTGCCTTGTGGCTTTTGTTGTTTCGTAAGTGTGGGGATTAGTTAGGACTTCGCTAATGGAAAGCTGTGATAAGAATAACACTCACATTAATCAGACTCATGATTGAATCTACTACAGATGTTCTATCATGTGCAATAATCAATCTAAAGTATTTACCCTGGGAGTCCACTACTCTCCATCTTGTTGGCTAGCTCGACATCCTTGGAGTATACATCGAACTGCCACTGTCTCTGACCAAGCACGCCTGCCAGGACTGCCCCAGTGTGGATACCGACCCGCATGTCCACCGGGGAATTAGTCGTCTGCTGAACATACCTGGGCAGAGGAAAACGTAGTATAGATGATTATTGTATACAATAGGGTGGTTATACATCAACTACATTGTATAACTGGCTGGAGCATTATAGGGGGAGCTAAGCAGTTAAAGCTATAAGATGGTGGCTGCTCCAATTTGCGTGGCTTTTCAGCTGTTCTTGGTAATTAGGATATTAATAAATGGTTCTGACCAAATAATCAGATGTTCTTATTCAATAATGAAGCCCCACAAATCATCTAAGTCAATGTTCTTGCTTAAATTTTCTAAACTATTACATACCTCGTCTTGCAGTTCAAATAGTGTTTGAAGTCCACTACATATGTTTCGCCATGATATGGTGAATATATTATAAATATATATATATTATATGGTATTCTCAAGTGGTTACAGAAACATTTGATCCAATTTGGACTCGTCAACATGTTTCTTCAAATACAAAAATATTTACATTATGAATTCAAAATAAATGAACGAATAAAAAACATTTAAGCCTGTAGGCCTAAAACATAACTCTACCAACGGCACAACGACAGACTATGTTTGAACTGCAAGACGAATTATGTAATAGTTTAGTCTATGCTACGCAGTTGAGGATCTACAAAATGGAATTTAAATTTTTTATCTTAAAACGCAACTCTATGGGGCTTATTGTAATTATAATGATAGGGAGAGTATTAACAGTTATATTAGCTTTTAATATAGGTTTCCCTTTAAACTTCATAAAAACACGCGTCAAACAAAACTACTGGATTTATTTAATCACGTATACTTGCAATTATGTACAATTCATTCCAAACATTAATTGCTGGACATTTCATCGTCATCTTAAGTGTCTTGTGATGTTTTTCAAGTGCTGATAAAGCGTTATCGTTTTGATTGGAAATTTTTTGCATTTGCCCTTTCTTGCTTATATATTCTTTGGGTACGAACAGTTGGTTGGTAGTGGTAATGTTAGATTTTTATACCATTATACACTATTTCGTAGTTAATATAAATTATTATTACACGGCACATTGATGATATGAGAAATTACCATATAAGCCTATGTTAAGCCTACCAAATCTTTAACTTCCTAACAATGAAATTTAATTTAATATTCCATACAAAACAAAACATGTAAAACATCAATTGTTATCACCCTCTAACAATTTAGTTCTTTAAGAAGCCTTGAACTTACAAAGGATAATAGAAAGATATTCTAATTCCAATGCTGATAAAATTTTTCATAATATTCTCAAATCATTCTGATATGATTTTATACGGCAAGCTCATATACAGATAGGAATATTTCCATAGTCTTCAGGTACTATATTAAGGAATAACCATAAGTAAACAACATTTACAAAATAACGATAGATTATCCAATTCACAATCTCTTATTGCAATATTCAGACATGCATAGTATAGATTAATTCACCAAATATAGAATGACACCATGTAAAACCAGCGATATAAGGAATTGCACAAAACTGTACATGTTTGTTGTTTTAGAGTGCAGTGCGAGACAGTGTTCTACAGTGTAATGAGGCTAGAGTCCTTCTTTGAAGGCGTCCTAATCAGCAGAGGCTACATAGCTCCAGGGCTGCTTATGTAAGTGTTCTCTCTGTATTTTTACTCAATTTCACCCAAAGCTTCTGTAATATTATTGTTTGAAATAGTTTTTCAAACATCCAATATGAACATATTTCCATTGAAGTTGTGATTGTTTTATAAATAGTATAGATAAATACTCGTAGTATAATAATATCTAGGACAGGAGTACGGTCTATTATTTTATTTATGTGTTTTTAAATACTATTGGCCGTGTTAATATCTAACGTAGACATTTCGTCTCAATATCTGATAGTTCAGTGACTAAATGGCACCACAATCAAATGTAATAAAAGTGTAAAAAAGCTCAATTAACATAATTGGTAAACTAGTGATATTAGTAGTGTGATAAGTTTGTGACATGAGTTAGTGTATGTTTTAGACGCTGTGCTTTTAAGAAAACCCTTTTCCGTCTGAGTCTTTTTTGCACTCAAAAATAATATGGTAAAAATAATCTCGATGTTAACTTTGGTCTAGAATTACATAGGAAAAGATTTCGTACAATTAAAAAACATGATAATGTTAGGATAATTTTGATTAAATAAAGATTTTCAAATCTTATATAAAAAAATAAGTATCAAAAGAGTGTCAACGTGGAGTTGATTATTAGAATTGATGGTGACTCATTATAAGACAAAAAACATTGATAAGTATGGTGTTGAGTGGAAATGTGAAAATGTGGGCAACAGCCAAGAAACTGTTTATTGGTACCCAAACCCATTTATCTGGCGATTCAATCAGAATATCTTTAAATTTGAACGAATGTTGTTTACGTTTTTTTACCCTTAACGGAATGTTATTACTTTTTAGTGAATTTCCCATATAGGGAATAAGCTATTACCGTAGTACTCATGGTAAGACCTGGACCCGGGACCGATTTAATTTTTCATTTTGAGGTCCCTAGAGGCCAAAAACATCATCCGTTCAAATTCATATATATATTTTTGTATTATACATGTATGTCTCATTGATGTATACAATAACAATATATATAATAACCCGGGACCGATTTAATTTTTCATTTTGAGGTCCCTAGAGGCCAAAAACATCATCCGTTCAAATTCATATATATATTTTTGTATTATACATGTATGTCTCATTGATGTATACAATAACAATATATATATATATATATATATATGTCCGTTAGCGCGATAACTCGAGCAAAAATGATCCCATTTTGATGAAATTTGGTACGAACGTGTAAACCTACGTTTATTTGAACGAGTTCGCGATACAGCATAATCGGACCATGGAAACGGGGGTTTATGGGGGTTTTATGGGGTAAAAATGGGGTTTTCCCATTTTTTACCCTAAAAACAAAAAATGTTGCAATTTCTTTCTAAACTGTTTTGTAGAGCTTAAAAAAAAGAAATAATTTAGTATATTGAAGCGCTGTTGTATGCCTAACGGTCACGGAGAAAATTCAAAAATACTGTAATTTAAAATTCCCAAGTTATTTTATGGAGAAAATGAAAATTGTTGTAGTTTACTTGTTTATGGATATATATTGATAAAATTTATTTATTTCATCCTATACTATTGACGTATGGTCAAAAAACACTTTTTACCTTCCCCGTAGCAGCAAACCTAAGCACTCGTTAAATCTAATGTTATTTAAATAGGGAATAAATATGTCTTATTTATGGGAATATTTTAGTAAAAATGTAATCAGACAAGTTGAAATTCGCTTAGTCTGCAGGTTTGCTGCGGCGGGGGTATTAACAAAGATCTGGTGAAATAGTTAACGTGAATGTAAATTAGACAATTAATCTAAGTTACACTTAATGTATACAGCTGAAGAGCTCAACATGCACCAACATGATTTGTATGGCAAATAAGGTATTCAAATATTCTGATTGTCAATGTCGCTACGTTTTGAAGTAAACGAGACATTGTTAAGCGGTAAAGCATAAAAGGCTCTGACTGCAACCGGATCTTTGAATATCGTGTTTTATGTAAAGATTTCCAGAAAATCACCTACTTCACATTTGTCAATTAAAACCTACTTAGTTTAAGGGTATAAGTCATATAAAACCGTGTAATTAGTTATCCATTTAATATTTAAAACCATGTTAAACAATATTTTGACTAATGAAAAATTGTTTCGTAAGAACATTATTATTACGGTTAGTTTATTTATCAAATTGAAAATGCAATTAGATTTAGCGAGCCATAAAAATTATGATACATTTTCTTACATTGTTCGCTGATTTAATTCACCCTAGCAACAGTCGTCATTTATACACATATCATGAAACTAATTAGTGTTAAATGATTACACTCTATATATTTATGTTATTATAATTTAAGGATAATAAATTGAACTAACCAAATTAATAAAGAACACCATTGTTAAACTTAATTAAGTTTATATAGTTTTAAACATTTTCTGAATTAAAGCAATCAACAAAGACTACATGAACCATTACAGCATTATTACATCTTACAAAATTAGTTGTAAAAATTATAGGATTACTAGCTGACCCGGCGAACTTCGTATCGCCTAAGTTATAGGTTTCCCCTAAGACAGACCTATGGAAAGAAAGTACCGTTACGTTTAATTTTCAAGATGATCTCGTTCGCATCGCTCAATCACGTCCTGGTTGAAGTTCGTTCGCTACGCTCACTCACCTTTGGGTTGGAGCTCGTTTAATTGAAACAGCTGTTAAGATTTATTTATTCAATTTCTCATAAGGTTAACATGGGAAACTCCAGAGCCACTGGGGCGGAGCCCTTTTAAGAATTTCGAAACGGGAAATAGTTTACGTCCGATTCGCATACCTACAGAATTTACACACCAAATTTCATAACGATCGGTGAAGTCGTTCCGGAGGAGTTTGCAGACAAACACTGTGACACGAGAATTTTATATATTATATAATATAATATTATTTATATATTATTTATAATCAAGTGTATTACAATCTAAGTCTATATAACTACAGAGCAAGAAAGAAACAACATTTCAAAATTATTTTAAGTTTTAGGTTTGGTGAGGAATTTTATAAAAGCCCCTAAACTGTTTGAATTACATAAAATAGCATGAGCTGGAGTTATAAAATTGCAAATTTATGCCCTAAATATTATATAGCTAATGGATTTGAAAGTAATCTAGAAAGTATCGATGGAGTTATTATTGAATTGCCTTGGGGAGTCAATGCTAAGCATATACATTTTTTGGGTTTATGAAATGAATAATTCTAGTTTTACCTTTTGGTGGAAACTTTTACATAAATATTACATTATCAAATTAAAGATTCAGCTGTTTTATCCCCTAAAACTGTTGGTTGATTTGAGTCACCGACCGAACATTTCCGCAAAACAATACTACAACACAATATTTGTGTTACATAGTACTTATTCGTAGTAATAAATTAAAAAAGGGTTTAACGTACTAAACTTAAATTACACCTAACTGTAATTTACCCCATATTGTATGAACTGAGCATATTTAAAGGATGGTGAAACAAAAAAATTATATACAATCTCAATTCCAGCACACTCTATGTGACAAGGTTTTTTAATATATCCACATCATGTAGAAATATTCACGACACGTATACATGAGTTAAGACAAAAACTTTTTGGTTATACATGAGTGTGGTATAATCTGTTTACTACAATAATTTTATAAACGTTATATCCCTATTGTAAAACTTAGCATCACCACATTTATTAAAATGAGTCTTCTGCCACCACTCAGTAGTTACATTTGTAATCTTATTAAAGAAAACAAAGCTCAGGAAATTACACCGATGGCACCCGGAAATTAAGATTTCTGACTGTGCATGTTTCCCTATGTTTTACTACTGATGAAAAACTGAAGAGATCCTTCTTTCACTCCATTAAAATAGGTAGACTTTGACTATTATTTAAATAATTACCATTTAAATTCATAAGTTAGCACATAATGCAATAATTGTTAAATGACAGTAAATGAGTAAATTATAGTTTACGATGAAATTAACTAATTAAATGTTGTAATGGTTTGTTACGATTTACATCGGATGACTTAAGAATATTTGTGGAAAATTCAAATTTCATGATTATATTTAAATTTTAATGTGAACAACTTTCATTTACTCTAGGTTAACTTATTCAATAACAGGTGTTGTAATGATTTGAAACAGTATACTAAAGATGTTGGTGAGGGGTGCCATTAGAAGTGAGGCAGCAACAAGATTGGTAGGAAGCAATTCACTTCCCCTCTGACAACTAACATTATATCCTACAAATTGGACGCTGCTATTGGTCCATTCTGCTTTAAAACTGGTACTTGTTAGCTCTCATTGGTCAATCACTTTTGATTGACGTCCCGACAAGCTAGGTCTCGTAACGAACAAAGTGTTTTTTATTATTACTTTATGTGTAATTAATTACAACTTAACAAGTATTTCAACATACATATTTATGTTGTGAAAAGAATGCCTTGTCTAGAGTAAAGTTCTAGGAAAGCTAAATGGTATAATAAATTATTAAAATAAAATATGCATTACAAACGTGAAGCTTATGTCAAACTTTAATTGTTTGTGATTGTTAAGTAAATTATTTATCGCAACACGACAAAATAACATTTTTCGGGTCCAAAATAATATGTTAAAAACAGTCCCCTTAAATGTTTGCTAGGTTCTTAAAAACGTGCACGTTCGTGCACATTCATTTTTTTCGAAAGCGTTATTTTTTTTACTATTCAACAAAGAGATTAAATTTGTGGTTCAAAATTAACTAAAGTTGACTTTTACTTTTTATACAATGACAAACCACACTTATTAAGTTTGCTGGAGTGTTTTTTTTTTCTTATTAACATTAAATATAGGATGCTGTCATCTTCTTATATCACTATTTGACTATGAACCCAATCGTTGTTAATTCTAGATTAAAGTAAACTAGTGTACCTGTTGCTAGAATTCGAGCAATTGCGAATCATTACAGGCGTTTTTTTTTTAAACGAATAACAGTTATAATTTCCGATGACTTTATAAGAGCCGACTCAAAGATTATAGAAATACTCAAGATGTACACAACAGTTAGATATAATAAAATTTGTTTGTAAATATCTCATCTTTTTTCAAAAGCTGATGTAGTTTTTTAGTGTTTTCTACAAATTTTTCCCTCTCATGTCTATAATAATGATTATAGATAAAAAAAAAACATTATTTATATTTCTTCTGCTTGGTTGTGTTTTTTGACTTTCTTGTGTTTCCATTGTTTGCAAATCGGCTCTTTCAATGATTGCTCAAGAAATGTAGCACAGTGTTAATTCAGTTTTATTTTTAGTATAACAAATTGTCCAGGATTTCTCTCTTTTTCATTTTAATAATTACACCAACCCAAATATCGTCTACAGATGCAATACGCCGAAGAATATTGTCTACGCGCAACACGCCTACTACGTACAATCTCCAAGAAGTGGTAAAAAAGGCAGTAACCAACCCATACAATAATAGATATAAGTTAACTCCATAAGAAATAGTTTTAAGAGTTACTGTGATATCAGGATTTTCCACTGATTTGGTAATAGAACATTATATTGCAAAACATGATACGATGCAGAAGAAAATCTATTTTAAAAACTGAAAAAACCATTGCAAATACTTCATTTTGACAATTAAACATTAACAGCTGTTTCATTAAAAAGTAGTGTAAAATTATGCATATAATCGTAATGTAAACAAATCTGCTGAGGGAACTTAAAAGGCCTCTGGGGCAGAGCTCCAAGAAGATTTACCTCGTTTATCTTTTCATGGCTCATCTGCAGACCAAGACCTTTCTTTAGAGACCCCTGACAAGTTTCTACGGCCAGCCGTTCTCTCAAATTAGCTGTGAAAAAAATCCGGTTTTCCTCCATAAGAATAACATGGTATGAGAATTTAAAGGCCACTGGGGCAGATCCCCAAGGGAATTCACCATGTTTCTCTTTTGATGGCTCATCTACAGACCAAGACCTTTCTATAGACACCTCCACCGAGTTTCTACGCCCAGCCGTTCTCTCAAATTAGCTGTCACAAAGAAAACCAGTTTCAAATCAATATATAGATCGAAACCATCAAATTAATATTTCCCGATCTTACAGGTCTATTATGAAGTAAATAGGTTTTTCAACACTATTGGAAACCCACTTTAATGCCACCGGTACTCAAGCATATAATATTTATCGACTATTAATCACAACTATATTCTATAACTTGTAAAATTAGGGTCTATTTTATTATACAGAGTAATTTACAAAGAAATGTCACATTCAAGAGCAATTCTCTGTTTGGTGAAAATAATTAATGAGTAACACTGCTCACTGTGTTATAACACATATTTCACATTAAAGAACACTGTTGCTATGAAGAAGCATGCTGCAATTTGGCACCGCTACTGCCCATTGTTTTGATATTGTAATAATGTACGGTACGTAGGTTTAGGTTCATACATATAATTTAATACTGTTAAATATTTTGTTGCAGAGACTATTCCTACCGCGAATCATTGCGTGACATAATGCTATCACATTTTCTGTTTATCAGTTAATGTAAACAACTGTTGCCAAACACCAAAGTGGCACGTCACTGAAAACAAATCTGGTTTTTACTAAATTTGTTTTACAACTAAGGATGCACTAAACAGCGTGGTTTAAAATTACCCAAAATAATACAATACCCAAATGTGACTCAAATACAGAAATTTAAAAAGTTCTAAACTACATATTAACTCAAAGAAAAATGGTTTCGATTATTTTGAAAACCCCCCGTTCATAAAGCAAAATGAAAGTTGTTTGCTTTATGAAAGATTTTTTTTTATAATCGAAATAATCTTTCTTTCAGTAAGTGTGTGATTAATTTTTTTTCAAATTGTGTATTTGAGTCACATTTTTGTTGGTTTACCACCCGAAAAAAAATTCACACTAGGTCAAGTCCACCTAGTAAAACACCACAAAATATATATTATTTTTATAAAAACTTAATACTTAAAATAAGTCCCTGTATATAAGATAACTAGGGTTCATAATACGTACTATTTCTTGTATCATTACATGAATTCACACTGCTCCCCTCTTGGTTGAATTTTAAATATATAAACCACAGTATATTTATGTATGGTTATGTTCCTAAGACTTTCTTTAATGTAAGCTCTCCTCCTATAATATGTACAATTTTTTTAAAAGTATATACATGTAAATAGAAAAGGGAAATACAATTTATAGCACTATTTACAAACATCATGTTTGTAACACTTTGTTGTCAAAAATCGTTAATTCCATTGCATTTTTAATAATAAAAAATGGTTTTTTAGTACGGACACATAAACATATGATAAAGTTCTTATAACTCACTTGATGGCCTTCACCATAGACAACCCCATGTGAACGCTGAGCACCGCGTGGTCCGGGCGTTCCCTCGGGGCACCACTGATACAGTAGTAACAGTCACCCAGGATCTTGATCCTCAATTGGTTGTATCTCTGAAATAAAATTAATCTTGAGGTATAGTCAGGATTAACTTGTGTTTGAGTAAAAAAAATATTGTACTACACTTCTAATAAATAATCTTAGTAAAATCATACAAATCTTTATTAATCATCAAACAACACAGGACAACACAGGTTACAATAGATTTAGTCTAAATGTGTCCGTATTTATTGTGACTCAAAACTAAGACAAGGCCTACTGCATTGATAATACTCATTATGCCAATTAAATAAAAATGTTAAATTGGATGTTTAAAGCTATTTTAAGATGTATAGAAAGTTTCATTTTGGGTATAATTTAAAATCAAAATATTACTCATCATCGACATATAATCTATCAATCATTTGTAAAAGTAGTAATAAATCTAAGTTAGTGTAAGCAATAACTGTAATAAAAAATAAATTAATTTTAGAAAATTTTAAAAACCTATGATTATTTTTTTGCATAACAATTGAAGATACAATATGTTTTATTTTTGTTTAAAACTAATAAAAATACAATCAACTTGCTCTCACTACTGGGAATCAACAATTCATTTAACAGAGATTAGCATTCTCTCGGTTAAGCAAAGAGCCCAATGATTGCCCTGTTTCCATGGGAACGGTTTATTTTATACATGATTGACTTTTAATTGGCCGACTCCGCCTGGTTGATTGCTTACTGGCCTTGGGTTGGTGAGCTTCCTATCTTCCGAACATCCTATTTTTGTATTGTACTCACAATGAAGATGTCTGTTATATTTTCGTTTGGAAGATAAACCCTCAAAATTAATCTATAAATCCTTTTTGTGATATTTTTTTTAGAAAACTTCTCATAAATGAGTGAGTAGCCTAAGTAATAAAACAATTCGAAATCAACCTAATACTTTTTTACATAAATATGATCAGTATGTAGCTGGCATGGGGATTTGTTTTATTGTTTCAGGATTTTCGCAATCTCGAAAGAAGCTATTATCTTTTTTGTGATATACTTATAATAAGAGGTTTTGTACGTTGTATCGTTGTTCTTTTCATACGATTACTTGCATTAAATTATATATTAGGATTGGATTGATTAAATTGATTGTCCTCATGTAGTATAATGAGTATTGCATACAAACTCCCTCGTAAATGGGAGTAATTTATTTAATTTATTTAACAATTACCTATTTCTCAAAGAAACTGAGTTTTATTGCAAAAATGTATTTTGCAATGGTACAATATTTCGATAACGTTCTTTTACACTAATAAATCAATTATTACAATATCTTTATACAACCAATTTCTATGTCCATCTTCCAATACAATACAACGATGTTTTAATGAAAATATAAACTACACAGTGTGAAACTACTCTCCGGTATAGCTGCATCGAGACAATAACTTTCAATATGAAATTCGACAACACACTGCTAACACCAGCTGTTGCAGTGATCCTCTATCTATACTGGTTTTATAAACGACGTCCCAAAGTGGTGCTTTTGAATGTGGAAGGGCGATGAATAAATCAGATGTATCCTCCAGAGTGGAGCATGCATCATTATTGGATAGGTTTCATATCACATCTACTCTGGGGTGTTCTGCGGTTAGGCCGACTGCATCACTGTGAGTATACATAATAACTAGCGATTTGTCTGCCAATGGATATCCAGCCTATTTATTGGTTCTGTGTTAATTACAATTGGACAGTAATTAAATACAAGTAGTGAAATCATTTAATGTGGACTAAGTAATTCTTTAAACACATGTGTAACTGTCTACAAATGCTTATTATATGTGATTTTGCACAAACTTGTAACAATTTGTGTACAGTACTGATTATGTTTTGTGGCCTGTTGTGCGATTAAGTACTGATGTGTAATTTTAGGTAGCAATCGTCTTTTTATGGCCATTTGGTATGTAAGTAGTTGAGTAAATGTGTAAAATACTCAGTTTTATTAGGCAATGCGTGGAAGGAATTGTTTATTAAAGAGTATCTGTTTGGAAGCATATATTGTTAAATTTTAGTCAAATATTAAATATTATACAAATTGCTGTGTAATTGTCTCGACTAAATGGGTTTTAATTAACACTGTAGTCCTAAAACCCTATTCAGAATTTACCAACACAACCTGCCAGATGGAAAAATCAGAAAATAAAAAAATATATTAACAAATTAAAATTTTTTTTTTTGGTTTATTTTAATGCTACCTATTACTACAAGTAAATAACCTGCTCAATAGTTGTGGAGTTCGTAAAGTGTTAGTAGAAGTTGTTGGTAAATAGTCTATAAAACAGGTTAAACATATTTGACGAATAAATATACTCACACTTTGAATGCTTAACTGTCTGATTTCCGTTACAAAGCTAACAAATGTCAATTTAAGATAAATCATTGTAAATTTCTATATTTTACCTCAGAGAGTCTGTCAAATCTGGCAAACAGCTCGTTGAGTATCTTGACGAGTTCAGAGGCTGAGTAGGTTGACGAGATTGCAGTAAATCCTACGATATCTGCGTAAAGTATACTGAAAAGTAGGAAAGGAAATTTTGTTATAACTCAACTATCATTATAGGTACTGTACATTATTGTTGAACAAACTTATAGACAACAATTTGTAACTTATAGATAACAATTTGTGTAGTTAATTATTTGATTCCCTTTCAACCAGGGGTGACAGAGCAAACCTGTCATAATTTAGTTACTTCGATAATCCAGAACGTGTTGTCATCATAGTACAACATACTGTTTATATTTCTATGATTGTTATGTATATATCGGTTTACCTAACTGAGCCTGAAATATTCTCCATTTCATAATTATTTATTCTAGCATATGGAATCAAGTTTGAAATTTAATTTTTTCATTTATCCTCAGAAAATAGTGTTAATTTTTCAGAATTAATAAGTCAAGAAACGCCTTTAAATGGGTTTAAATTTGATTTTGACATTAACTTTATATTTTTTTGGATTCATATAATTGTAAAAAAACTTTTTAAACCTACCTGACGTTTTCGTGTCTGCTCATGTAGATCTTCTTAAATTGAGAGTCGAGCGCCGAACCCAAATCTTGTCTCATTTTGACGGCGACGTGTTCAGGTAATACCGAGAGAAGTAGTCGTTCCTAGAAATTGAAAACACGGTCAAACTTAGGTAAAATCCGTAATTTACTGATTGTGTCACCCGCCTGGTTAACAAAGGGTGTCAGTTGTTTCCTGAGGAATGTCGGTAGATATTTGCGGTTCAAAACTGAACCAAGCTGTACATGAAAACGGTAGATCTGGCTCAATGAACAGCTAATTGTAATCCGTAACAAAGCATCAAAGGTATATCTTTCTTTCTGGTCAGATTTACCGCAAGTTCCGCCATACACAGTGTCACGATGTTACTTACTAATAAGACTTAAACTCGAGTAACCAAGACAAAAGGCTCTACTACTACATCCCTAATTAAGTACATAAATAAATAGTGGAACTGATCAAGTTCGTGGTGAAATTGTTACGAACGATAAACCCATGTCATGTCTTACATTTTAAAACGACGATGCTTGATTTTTAGTGAAATATATTGTATCCACGAATTAAAAACCTATTTCGATAAGTAATGTGTTCAGAGATGTTTTTTCCATTCTTGTTTAGCACTTGGAATACATATTCATTGGTATAAACAATATAAGTCACGAGTTTTATTATCTTAAAGTGTTATATATTGATACTTTTCTTAATTTAAATTAAGGTGGTTACTCAAATAATTTGAGTTGTAAATTTAAAAAAAGTTTATTAGTTTTAACAATTTGATTAATCAAAAGATAAATTTTAAGCAGAGGCAGAGACGACTTTGGTTATAAAACTCGTTTTCATTTCAAGACATAGGCACGTGCGCATTATATAAAAATATTTTAAAAGTATTAACACATTTAAATATCCATTAGAATATTATCTTACACGAAGATCCCTATAGTTAATCAAGGTGACATACTTATCTTTTGCGTTGAATGTAAACATACGATATTTTTCGTAATACTGTAAGAATTATGACTCATCAAAGTTGTTGTATTTATAGTCAAAGGTTATATTTATATATAAATATAAAGGCTTTTACGAGTACTTTGTAATATATACACGAATTTCTGGAAGGTTCACTTGTCTACTGTGAAATGTTTTCATTGGTTGGAAGATCAAGGGTCAAAAGGGGACGCAATGAACTTGATTGTGAATTATTGTCATTAGTTTCGTGTAACTTGAGCAGTTGGAACACTTAAGCTCTTGGCTGTTAGTTGATTAAAAGTGTCCCTGATAATTAAATTGCATTTTAATCACAAAACAGACCTAGTACTCCTCTGATTGTTAGGGTATGTTTGATAGTATAAAAAATGCCCATACAAATCGTAAAAAAATAGTAAATATTACAATTGAGATATCAAAACATTATTGATTATTTACTAGAATACATTTGGTATAATCTTAAGAAGAGGCTGTGTCAATCCCTCAGCTATCAAAATAGGCACTCAATTAGGGAATAGATGTTACTAAAAAATGAGAAAATTTTAAAATTGATAACACCATAGTGTAAATTATTGCAAAAAATTGAGGTATGTCAAATACCCTATTGGCACCAAATAGTATAAACGATAAATACTCAAAATCATAATATTCGTGGTTCTTGACGAGAACAGTTTAGTTCAAACCATTCCTAGTTTTGGATGTATTTTAGAAACCCGAAAAATGGTTTTACTAAGGGGGTTTGATACAACAAACCCCGGGAAGAGTGTTACCTGCTCTGCCGACTGTTCTTCTATCACAAGTTTCATCTCCAAACACTGCCGAGTCTCCAGGAATGCCGTCCTCTGTTGCCGGTCCTCTATGTAGAAGGAGGTGAGCCCCAGAAGATTCGCAGTGACTAGAAGCAGAATGTTCGTAACAGTCTGAAACATAACAGAAACTTATATAGATTTGACAACATATGTTTGTAATATCGAAATAAAGTCTCGATAGAACGAGATAAGCAAGCAAATTTACATGAATGGAGTGCTTTGTAATCAATCAATGAGTTTAGATGTAGATTTACCTTATACTATTCTAGTTTGGGATTCGTTTATACCTTTAATAGTTTGTAGATATAAAAAACGACAAACTTTACAAAATGCTAGAAGAGTCATGTATTTGAAAACACATCAAATTAACTTATGGTTAAATTATTATTACGGGACAGTTAATAGTTTGCTCAATTAAGCGTGATAAAAAACATATAATGAGTAATTGCACGTAGCTCAATTTTGTATAGCTTTATTAGGACACTAAACTGTGTAAAATAGGTAAACTTTAGTATAATATTTCCAATGCAATCAATATCATAAAAAACCGTTAACCTCATATCTGGGCCGTAAAAAACTGATGCTCCTGAGTTTGGTATATTTTTCATATTTGAAATAAAACACAGACAGGATTCGAATATTTTATGTCCAATAGTAAGTTAGATTGTAAGAAGGAAGAATTAAATGCTCCCCATCTACAACTCAATTAACCTAGAAACGTTTTACAATTAACGTACGTTATATACAAAACTAATGCTAGGTCGTAGCCATTATCAAGGCATTTTAAAAGTGAAGGTTAGCCAATAACAGATCTAACTGCAATCAACATGTAAATATAAACAAGATATAGTGATAAACATGTATTTCAAGAGACGTTTGAACCGATGCCGTCAACTGCGCGTGCTGTCACCAAATATCCCTGGATTAACTTGCAATTTGTGTCTCCGTTGTGTTTATTCCGTCACGAACTGTTATAGGTATTCACTTTCACTCTACGTATGCTTATGTCTCATACAAATCCTGACAAAACGATCGAACCTGTTTTTATTTAAATAATATACTTAAGTGTGAACTTTATGTATCTGAAATTATCTACACAAAAACTAATAAGTGGCAAGATGGGTTTTTTATGACTTGTGAATTTTTTAACATTCGAAATATACCCCGGATTAATGAATAGGTCCAGTAACTAATTATTGTTTTTGGTGTTCATAATGGTCTATTTATTCTACATACACAATACAAATATCTCAAAATGTCATATAGGTACTCCTAATGTAGGTAAACTGCAGATTCGTGATAATCAATTTTGAATTCTTTTTTTATCACATATGCAAAATGTCTTTTGGTAGCCTACATCAATGTTATTTTTTTAATGTATGTTTTTTTTATGTAGTAACGCTAACGCATAAATATTCACATTGTATCGTCAACGGTGATTTGTTGTTAGCATCGGGAAGAGATTCTTCTTATTTATGAATTCTTAAGACGTATAACAACACCATTTTACTAATGCTTCATGAGAAGGAGGAAAACAAATATAAATGTGCTCCCGTTTTTAAAAGAGGATTTTATCTTTCGGTAATACATTAATGTGTCTGAGGCACATTTTAGTGTAGAAAGGGTAATTTAAGTAATACTAACTTTAGTTTTCAATATTTTTTTACATAAATATACGTTCCTTATTTTTTTCCATTACTTGACGCTCTACAAAACGCATTAATATGTATGGACCAGATGATTGATCATACATATACATTTTTTTCTTAAGAAAATGTTGATTAAAATTTAAACTCTATCTAGAATATTGAATTATAAAAGAAACCTTCCTCTCAGAGGATCGGATACATTTACACACAATAAAACTATTATTACAAATATTTATAAGGCATTATATGTATCTTGGTGCAGGATAAAATAAGGAAAAGCTTGCTTGTGTAAATAATAAGCAGCCAAACGTGGTGAAGAGTATTCACTATTTATTCGGAAGGAAAAATACAAGAGCTTTTAGTAGAGTAACCAATGTGATAAAAGCAGTAGCAGTAGCCTTGGGCACTCCGTCGAGACCTTTGTCAATCATTATCATTCTCAACTGTTACCAACATGTGTAGGTACAGCAATTGGATAACCTCAGTAACAAATTTGAAGATTTCTTAGTCTTTATGTAAAACAAAAACTGAATCGTCGAGGAATTTACTATTTTCAATTAGTATGCATTTTTCTGATAGATTTTGTGGTATTACAAACAGTAAGCCTATATTTACAAACTCACGATGCATATAATGGTTAATAGAAAGGAATGTTTTGATTAAAAATACAAAAATAGTATTGAAAAATACACAAACAACTCAAATTACATCGATAAATGCACGTTTAAATTTAATTCTCGTGCATATGGTACTAATTACTTGAAACAAAACTACAATTTCAATATTACAGTGAAATAATAAAGTGTATGTAAAGATATTAATAATTAGTAATCTTAATCAGTTTAGCGGATAAACTTTTAAAGATGATCAGAAAAAACTTTATATTCAGAAGTGCAGAATATAAGACATGTTCCAAGCTAATACAAATTTGAAAACTTTTAAGAGTAGTAAGCTAGCAAGATAACAATTTCCATGATGATTGGAATTATACATAAGTAATTAATTTACACAAAAGTCTTACATTACAATCATGACAAACTAAAGGCATGCATGATAATATAAATAGAGCTAACAAATAGTGTTTAAAACGTCTATAACTAACTAAAGTTATATTCAAATATTATTTCTTTATTGGTTTGTTGATCATCTTACAAAATACATAAGACTGATATCTAGGCTGTATTGGGGGGGGGGGGGGGTAGGAGAAGGGAGTTTCCTTTTGTGAAATTATATTACGCCTAAGTGCAGAGAGTTGTAGTCCACCTGGCCTATCTCTCTCCTTCTCTCCCTCTCCTTATCTTTCTCTCGTCCACCTTATCTGTTACATATTTAAGTTGAAGTAAGATGATTATTTAATGCCTTGATAAAAGATATTGGGTTTATTAAAATAAAGGGGGGTAATATTTTTGGGTTCAATTTTCATTCATCAAAATACGCGTAAACTGAACATTTAATAGTTGAACTCCGTACAATGCCAACTAATATACAATGTCACAAAGAAGGATGATCGATTTAGACATGCAATCCTACAGGTTCTTGTCCATGGAACTTAAACATATACCGACTAATCCATTCCTTTACTCTCAATTTCATTATATGAGTGTCAAAAACAGTTTAGAGAAGAAATTGATGTATAGCCTGTTTCAGGGCACGCTGCTATCGTTTAAAGTAAACCTTTAAACTATTATAAAATCGAGGAGCTAAAAGTATTTCTCATTTTGTTATATTAAATTTTTAGCAGGGAATTTAAAAATTGTTTTTGGTCTTGTGTGTGAACAAATGAAAAATTTGTGAGCCATGCCTGGTGGAGTATAGTCCTCGCCACCCTAATTTGAGGCAGCCCAAGGCCGCACTACGTATACGCCGTGCGGTCTTGGGCTGCCTCAACTTAGGGTGGCGAGGATAAAAATGTATTGGCCGGTGCTTCCGGTAGCCAATCAATAGGGTACATGTAGGGACGCCATTCAAGATTCTTGTCATTCGCCTATTGGGTCTGATGGTGATAGGAGTGTTCAATCGAAATCGGCCACCACTTACCATCTATTTTGTATATTTACCGTCTTGTGAATAACAGAAATTTGAATCAAAAGAAAAATCTTTCCTTGCCTAAAAAAGTACCACCATATTCAATCATAATACATTGTGACACTTAATACGTATATCCCCAATTTGACGAACCAACCCTTAACCTGTATACTGTGGAGTAAGTAAAAATGTAAATACACTCTTACTTTATTTACGTGTTATGTCAGAAAACATAACCTTTTTTAAGAATGTTTTTGGTCTGTATCCAACGTATTGACAGGGGTGTAAAATAATGTATTTTGGGGTGGATTGGATTTAAACTAATTGAAAATATGACTTAAATGAGGCACTGTAAAATTGAATAATGTGCTTATATGGAATTTGGAAATTAAATACGTGTACATAATCGTATAACAAACCAAAGGAGCAGTTGAAAGCAAAATAATCAACTAATTGTCCTATTTGGAAAACTGGAAAGGTTTTGACCTGATTCTATCTAAATCTTGCGACTAAGACTTAAACAACAAATTTAGAGACATCATGTATTGAACACACGTTTGAGCTATTGCCATGTACTGCGCGTGCTGTCACCAAATATTGCTGGATTAACTTGCAATTTGTGTCTCCGTTGTGTTTATTCCGTCACGAACTGTTTTATTTGTTCACTTTCACTCTTCATATAATATTATTTCCTTATTATTTTCTACGTCCAATACCATGAACTCGAATAGTTTGAAAATTATCACACGATAACAATGAAATTGGGATTTGACTTATTAGTATGGAGGAACTGGAACTTGTCACCTTTCTGGAATCGAACTCCCTTCTTCAGTGGTGTGAAGAAAATGACCTAATCTTGAACGCGCAAAAAACCCAAATAGTCCAATTTTCCATTTCTAACCGGTTAGAACGGTCCCACTATGACTTGAACATTCTCCTCGACGATAACACTATCTCCCCTTCTTCAGAAGTAAAATTCCTCGGTCTTGTCCTTGATGAAAACCTCAAATTCCACAGCCACATCGAGCACGTTAGCAAGAAAGTATCGGTGGGTATATTTATGCTGAGAGTTCTCAGCCAATCAGCCACCACTGATGTCCAATTATCAGCCTATTATGGGCTTGTCTACCCTCATCTGACTTATGCGGTTCCTGTTTGGGGGTGCGAAATTGAGAGGACTAGGTTCTTGTTTAGGCTTCAGAGAAGGGCAATTCGAATTGTGTTTTCTATTTCCAAACAACAATCATGCAGAGATTATTTCAGAGAATTTAAAATTGTAACTTTCCCATCTATTTACATCCTCGAAACTCTATCTTTCCATAGCAAAAATACTTCCATTTTCTCATCTGCAAAAACTTCCAGGTATCCATTGCGCAATACTTTAAATCTACCAATTCCCCGGCATTCCACTTCTTTCTTTCAAAGAAACTTCCATTA